AAGCTTCCAAGAGGGCCCCAGGACAGCCCAAGAGGGCCCCAAGACGGCCCAAGAGGCGCCCAAGATGGCCCAAGAGGGCCCCAAGACGGGCCCAAGAGGGGGCCCAGAGGGGACCACGAACCGCAAGCTCGAGCCTTCCGCCCCAAGAGGCCGCCAGGAGGCCCCCAGGAGGCCCCTCAAGAGGCCCCAGGAGACCCCAGACGTCCAAGGACGCCCCCAAGAGGCCCCAAGAAGCCTCCAACATGCGTCCCAAGAGGGCCCCTAGACGCAAAATTGGCCCATTCCCTTCGTAAAACGTACATTTTCAACAAAGTCGCTTTTGGGCTTTCCGACGTTACAGGACGGCCCAAGAGGCGCCCAAGACCGCCCCAAGACGGCCCAAGAAGCTTCCAAGAGGGCCCCAGGACAGCCCAAGAGGGCCCCAAGACGGCCCAAGAGGCGCCCAAGATGGCCCAAGAGGGCCCCAAGACGGGCCCAAGAGGGGGCCCAGAGGGGGACCACGAACCGCAAGCTCGAGCCTTCCGCCCCAAGAGGCCGCCAGGAGGCCCCCAGGAGGCCCCTCAAGAGGCCCCAGGAGACCCCAGACGTCCAAGGACGCCCCCACGACGCTTCGCGTCACCAATTTCTTCTCACAACGATTCCTGGGTCTGTGACTCGACAGAACCTAAGCGCGCGCGAAGCGCGCGCGTGGTTCTAGTATTGTGTATCCTGCGGCACCCGATGTCAGCGATTGCTGAAAGGAAAGTGCAGCGCGGTTTGAAGTTTCGGCGCGCCAGCGCGGAGTGTGTATATCTGTATCGTTGCTTGAGGCGGAAGTTCGAGAGTACATGCGGTGATAGGTGGGCCGCCGGTACTTGCCGCTTGCCCTTCACACTGGCAACGCAGAGGGGCTGGCCAAACTTGCTCTGCTCTTTGCACAGACGCACGCGCCCCCGCTGGGGGCCGAGCTGAAGGGAGGAGAATCCATCTCGAACCCCATTATTGGCGCTTGCTGAAGAGCCTTGGGCGCTTGCTACGTAGACAGCCCTGACCTGTTCGATCCCTTCCTCGGGTGCGTTTACTGAAGAGCTTCGCTTGTCGGGGTGATTCTTATGAGAGTAGTTCTCGTGCCCTCTGCGAATCTGAAGCAGCGCTCGCGCAGCCCAACGCCCGCCAACATCGAGTGGCGCCCCGGGCGCGCGACGGAGCGCCTGGGCGATGTTCGGACAGGCCCAGAGCATTCCGGGGCGCCCTCGGAATGCTCCGGAACGCTCTGGAGCGACCGCGGCGCCCGACGCGTCCTCCAGAGCCGCCTGGTCTCAGGGCTCCCCGACGTATCCCGAGCTGAGGCTGCCCCGGTCCTGCCTCCGTTTGATCGCGCAGCCCGACACTGGGCGGCGGCCTGGGCGCGCGACGAGGCACCCGAACGGCGTGTGCTCCTCGGCCCGCCGTGTTCCGTTGTGCACCGGGGGGCGGCGGGCGGTGCCCACAGCGACCTGCAGCGGGGCAGCGATCGAGGCTGGAGGTTTTCGGGCGGTCATGGGTTTTTCGTTGTTGGCGATCCTGCAGCGCTCCTCGTCCTCATTCCTGCTCGCCTCCTGGCGACTACAAAGGGCATGGTTGTGACGGGCACCGTTGGGGCTTGGGGAGCACGACGTTGTCCTCGTCAGGCCTCCTCTGGCGCGGCGACGAGCTCTGTCGAGGTCCTTGCCCGCCCCCCAGGGTGCCCCTCAGGGTGGCAGTTGCACACCACACGCTTTACAAACCACACCCGTCGGAGTCGCCGACCCTCAACTACCCCACCTGTGCCGTGGATACGATGTTCGAACGGCTTCGTATAGAGGCTTCCCCCAGTTGCTGGTTTCCCCCACATGCGGGACGGTAATCGGGTGCTTGCTTCGCCCCCGAAGGAAAGGATTCGGGATCCCGCAAAGAGGGGGCGTGCCCCGGGGGGGGGAGTTCGATCGGCTTTTGCGCCTAACCCCCCAAGACGGCCGCCGGCAGCTCCCGATAGGTTGGGCACGTGGGGGGCACCTGTTTGCGGCCGTTCGGTGCACCAGCGGATCGAACTCTTGCCCCCCCCTCCAGGGTCACCCCCCTGTTTGGTGGATCCCGAAGCTCCCGATAATTAGGTGGGGCACGCGGGGGGCACCTCTTTGCGGCAGTTCGGTGCACCAGCGGATCGAACTCTTGCCCCCCCCCTCCAAGGTCACCTCCCCTCCAGGGTCACCCCCCCCCCTCCAGGGTCACCCCCCCTCCAGGGTCACCCCCCCCCCCTCCAGGGTCACCCCCCTCCAGGGTCACCCCCCCTCCAAGGTCCCCCCCCCCTCCAGGGTCACCCCCCTCCAGGGTCACCCCCCCCCTCCAGGGTCACCCCCCTGTTCGGTGGATCCCGAAGGAGTGAGCTCCCGTGGGCTCTGGAAGGATCCACCGGGGGGCAGCAGCGGGCGCGCCACTCCGCCAGGGGGGGCAGGGCCGCCCCCCGGGGCGCGAAGACGACTGCGCACGTCTCGTCCCGTGCCGGAGGGCTGCCTTCCCCCCGCGGGGCGGCGCGAGGGCGCGCAGAGGCCAGCGCGACTCACGCGGCGCGCTGCGCGAAGGGGGGTCGCCCGGCGTGCGGCTGCGATCTGAGCTCCGGCCTCCGCCTTCCGAGCAGCACGAGTGGCGCCGCGAGGGCGGGGACCCCTCCTCTGCCCAGCCTGGCCTCCTCCGCCTGCCTGCCTGCCCTCCGCCCTCCCGTCTCGCTTCTTTCCGGCCGCGTGTATCCTCCTGGCCTCCTCCGTCTTCAGGGCCTTCTCCCTTGTGCCCTCTTCCTCCTGATCCTCGTCGTCGTCGTCGTCGTCGTCGTCATCATCGTCGTCATCGTGCCCTTCGTGGGTGGTCGTCGTCAGGGCCTCGAGGCCGAGACCCCCCGACCCTGGCCAGCATCCGCACGGGCCCCGGACGTGACCTCGGGAGGCCCAGGGCCAGAAGAAGCCTGGCCGCCGTGATTCTCTCTCTCTCTCTCTCTCTTGGCGGCGAGCGACGGGGGGGGGAAGTGCGGAGGGGAGGGCCTTCCCGGAGGGCGGCGGGGCTCGCTTTCTGAGAAGTTCTTTGCGTCGTTGAGGAGGGTTTCGGAAATTTCTCGGAAGACCAGGGGACTTCCCAGCTCTCTGAGAAGGCCTTCTCCTTCTCAATTCCCCCCCTCGCTCGCCGCCGAATGATTCTCTCTGGCGTTGGGGGACGACCATCGCGCCGCCCCGGATATCCGATGCTCCAAAAAGATTGGAGCGGCTGGCGTTCTGCAGTTTTCGGCCTCGAGGGTCTTTAAGCAAACCCAAAAACCATCAAAAGCGATTCAGGATGAAAATCGGCGTCAGGGAAGTGGTTCAGACCTCCAGGGCTCCCACATCGAAAAATCTGGAGCGCTGGATGCCTGGGCCTGTTGAAGATCATGGCTCGACCTTTTGCACGGGAATCCTGGAGGCCGTCTGCGGGCGCGGGGGAATGGGAATATCATGGTGGTCGCGGAATTTCTTTTGAGCCGCAGGGCTGGCAAACCCGACAGACACCCCGCTTCGGAGGGCCGCCCAGCGCTTGCGCTTGGAAGCAAGTCCAGCGAGACTTGGGCACGGTCAATCTCCAGCTCCACCCTCAAATCCTTTTTCCCCGAAGCCTCACAGTTGGGGCTGGAGCAGATGGGGCCCCCAGTCGCACCGCATGGCGGATTTATGAGCGAAGCGGCGCGATTTGAGCCCGAGTTTCTCCACCCCGACGTCGCCGATGCATCGGCGATGCTTGACACAGTCTACTCTGGCCCGCATATGCACGATGCGACCACTGGACACCGTGTTTTTCACCATATCCTAAGATGGGGTTCTTGTTCCCCATATCCTAAGATGGGGTTATCCCCCATATCCAAAGATGGGGTTCTTGTTATTGGCGGACCGCGCCGGAAGGACACAGAACAGGACAGAACACCACACCCATCACTCACCACTCATCACTCAGACTCACCACTCAGATTCACTCATCACTCAGACTCACTCATGCTCTCTCATCACTCAGACTCAGTCATCACTCAGACTCAGGCGATTCGCTCGTCTCAGCAATCTAAAGGGGGCGGCGGGGGGGTATTTCACGGGGTCCCGTTCGCGGAATTTTGTGGGGATGTCTCAGGCGGTTTGGCCATTTTCTGATCCAACATGTTTCGTTTTCGGAGCAGATTTGGAGGATGTCTCAGGCGATTCGCTCGTCTCAGCACTCTAAGGGGGGCGGCGGGGGGGTATTTCACGGGGTCCCGTTCGCGGAATTTTGTGGGGATGTCTCGAGCGGTTTGCTTGTTTTCTGTGCCAGCATCTTTCGTTTTCGGAGCAGATTTGGAGGATGTCTCGAGCGAGGCGCTCATGTTGACCTCCCAGGTGGGCCAGATTTTGAGGATGTCTCGAGCGGTTTGCTTGTTTTGGTGGCCAGGCTCGTGGGCGCAGATTCTTCTCAGGATGCCACAGGAGGCTCCCACAGGCTCCAGGAGGCCCCAGGAGACCACATGAGGTCCCAGGAGGCATCAGGAGGCCACAGAAAGACTCAAGAGGCTACAGGATGTCCCAAGAGGCTCCAGGAGGCCCCAGGAAGCTCCAGAAGGCTTCAGGAAACCACAGGAGGCCCCAGGAGGCAACAGGAAGCGCCAGGAAGCCTCGGAAGGCAACAGGAGGCCCCGAGAGGCCCCAGGAGCAGGAGGCCTCAGAAGGCAACAGGAGTGGCTCCAATCCCATGTGTTTTACGTATGCTCCTATCGATTGGGCCTCACCTGGAGCACGATTCTTTGATGTTATACGTATGTTTCTATAGATTGTCCTTCTCCTGTGTACACAATCCTACATGCTTTACGTATGTTTCTATAGATTGGGCCTCTCCTGGGGCACGAGTCCTTGGTGTTTTACGCGTGTTCCTATAGATTGCCCTTCTCCTGTGGCTCTAATCCCCCCGTAGCCATTTTGGCTCAAGCGTTCGCATGCCGCGCCGCCTCGGCCTCCCGCCTCGGGATGGCTGGCCTGCGCGCGGCTAGAGGGGCTGGCACGGCCGCCGACGACCTCGCGCCGCTGGTGCGCGCGGCGGTCCGCGGCGCTGTGGACGGCGGCGCGCCGCGCCGCACGGTCGCCGCAGTGGCGCGCTCTGCAGTCTCGGCCGCCGCGTTCGCGGCGCGGCCGACGACGCAAGCGCACGCTGCAGACGGCCGACGTGACGATCATGCTGCTGATGCCGTTGGCGATGCCGCTCGCCCAGCTGGTGCCTCCGCGGAGGCGAAGCGGGCGCGGCGTCGGCGCCGCCGCGCGGCGCGCGCGGCTCGCAAGCAGCAGGAGATGACCGACGGCGACGTGACGACGGCTGGTGCTGGCAGTACTGGTGCGGGCCTGGGGCTCGCCCTGCTGCCCACGGCGATGGCGGTCGACGGCGCCGACGACGAAGACCTCGCCTCGTTGGTCGACGACCCCTGGGCTGACAGCCTGCCTGTCGGCGGGCGGCGGCGGCCTGGGCGGGGGCGCGAGGGCAGGTGGGTCGCGGAGGCGGTGGCTGCTGGCGCGGGCGGCACGGGCTCTGGCTTGGCCGCCGCGGCGGCCGCTCCCGCGGGCGCGGCGCTGGCCCTCGCGAGGGCCCCGGGCGGGGCGGCGGCGGCGGAAGCGGCGGACCTCGCTCGCGGAGTGGGGAGTGCTGCTGGAGCTGCTGCGTGCGGCCTCGAGCGCGCCGGCCTGGCTGGCGGTGCCGAGCCACGGCGGCGTGGGCCGAGGCGCGCACGGGCGAAGGCGCAGGCGGAGGCGGCGAGGGCGGCGGCGGAGCTGGGCACGGCGCTCGCGGGAGCGGCGCCTGCTGGCGGCGGAGCTGCTGCCTCGGAAGGCCCTGGGGAGGTCTTCGAGCGTGCCGACGGCCTCCTTCGGCAGGCGCCTGGCTACGGGCCTCAGCTCAGCGAGCAACTTCGGCAGATGCTGGAGTCCGTGAGCTGGAGGCCCGCCAGCGCCGTGTGAGTTGGGGAGTGCCTACGGTGGTCTGGGCCTTTTCAGGCTTGGCACGGGGTGGATGGTGGCTCGCGTGGCTGCCTCACCTGACGGCGCACACCCACGCAGCGCGGCGTGCACGCTGCATTTTGGAGGCCGCTGTTTGCGGAGCCTCCTGGCCGCACTCTGCGGCTTGCGCCATTTTGGCGGCGGGATTGGCTCGTGCCGCACGAGCTGCCTGGTGTACAAAAAAATGTGGCTCTAATCCGCAATGTTTTATGTACGTCTGTTGCTATAGATTGCGCCTCTCCTGGGGCACGAAACCTCCCTAGGAGGTCCCAGGAGGCCCCAAGAGGCTCCTGGAGACCCCAGGAAGCCCCAGTAGGTTTCAGGAGGCCCCAGGAGGCCCCAGGCTCATGCACAAAGACGCGCTCGTACTACTGAGGCTCATTCACACTCCAATTCATTCGCAGTTAGATTTATGTCCAGACCGTCACAACTGAAGCCCGCGCATATTCGAAAGCTCTTGCGCCTAGACATTCACGGCGGACAGGTCCATGCGAATAGATGCACATACGGGGAGCTCCACGCAGTGAATAATTGTTATTCCTTGGACGCCTCCTACTCCTCCTTCTTCTCCTTCTCCTCCCCTCTCTCTCCTCCTCATACCCAGACTTACTCATACACAGACTGACTCACACTCAGACTTACTCATACCCAGATTTACTCACACACAAAATTATTCTTACTCAGACCTTCTCATACTCAGACCTACTCCTACTCAGACTTACTCATGGTGAGACTCACGCACGCCCCGTTCGCAGCCGTTTTGTGGGGATGCCTCAAGCGGTTTGCTTGTGTTCTGTCCCAACATCCTTGGCTACCAGAACAGAGTGTGAGGATGTCTCAGGCGGGGCGCTGGTTTCAGCTCCCCCAAGGGGAGCCGCCAGGGGTTATCTCACGGTCCCGTTCGCGGCCGTTTCGTGGGGATGTCTCAAGCGGTTTGCCTGTTTTCTGTCCCAACATCCTTCGTTTTCGAAGCAGATGTGGAGGATGTCTCGAGCGAGGCGCTCACTTTCACCCCCCTAAGGGGAGCCGCCAGGGGTTATCTCACGGTCCCGTTCGCGGCCGTTTTGTGGGGATGTCTCAAGCGGTTTGCTTGTTTTCTGTCCCAACATTTTTCGCTTTCGGAGCAGATTTGGAGGATGTCTCGAGCGAGGCGTTCATTTTCACTCCCCTAAGGGGAGACCACATGAGGTCCCAGGAGCCATCAGGAGGCCACAGAAAGCATCAAGAGGCCACAGGATTTCCAAAAAGGCTCTAGGAGGTCCCAGGAAGCTCCGGGAGGCTTCAGGAAGCCGCAGGAGGCCCCGGGGGGCCAGAGGAAGCGCCAGGAGGCCTCGGAAGGCAACAGGAGGCCCCGAGAGGCCCCAGGAGCAGGAGGCCTCAGAAGGCAACAGGAGTGGTTCCAATCCCATGTGCTTTACGTATGCTCCTATAGGTTGGGCTTCACCTGGAGCACGAATCTTTGATGTTGTACGTATGTTTCTATAGATTGTCCTTCTCCTGTGTATTTATGTATCTATGTTCCTATAGGGCCTATCCTGGGGCACGAGTCCTTGTGTTTTACGCGTGTTCCTATAGATTGCCCCCTTCTCCTGCGGCTCCCATCCGCAATGTTTTATGCACGTCTGTTGCTATAGATTGGGCCTCTCCTGGGGCACGAATCCTCCCTAGGAGGTCCCAGGAGGCCCCAGGAGGCCCCAAGAGGCCCCTTGAGGCCCCAGGAAGCCCCAGTAGGTTTCAGGAGGCCCCAGGAGGCCCCAGGAGGACCCAGGCTCATGCGCAGAGACGCGCTCGTACTACTGAGGCTCAATCATATTCCAATTCATTATCAGTTTGATTCGCGACCAGACCGTCACACCTTAAGCCCGTTAATATTTCAATGTTCTTGCGCCTAGACATTCACGGCGGACAGGTCCATGCGAATAGATGCACATATGGGGAGCTCCGCGCAGTGAATAATTATTTCTTGGGCGCCGCCGACTTCTCCTCCTTCGTCTCCTGACCTCTCCTCCTCATACCCAGACTTACTCATACACAGACTGACTCACACTCAGACTTACTCATACCCAGATTTACTCACACACAAAATTACTCATGTTCAGACCTACTCATACTCAGCCCTACTACTCCTACTCAGACTTACTCATGCTGAGACTCACGCACGCCCCGTTCGCGGCCGTTTTGTGGGGATGTCTCAAGCGGCTTGTTTGTTTTTCTGTCCCAACGTCCTTCGCGTTCGGAGCAGATTTGGAGGATGTCTCGAGCGGGGCGCTCATTCTCACCCCCCCCCAAGGGGAGCCGCCGAGGGGTTATCTCACGGTCCCGTTCGCGGCCGTTTTGTGAGGATGTCTCAAGCGGTTTGATTGTTTTGTGCTCATTTTTTTTCGTTTTCGGAGCAGTTTTGGAGGATGTCTCGAGCGAGGCGCTCATTCTCACGTCCCTAAGGGGAGCCGCCGAGGGGTTATCTCACGGTCCCGTTCGCTGCCGTTTTGTGGGGGTGTCTCAAGCGGTTTGCCTTTTTTCTGTCCCAACATTTTTCGCTTTCGGAACAGATTTGGAGGATGTCTCGAGCGAGGCGCTCATTTTCACCCCCCTAAGGGGAGCCGCCGAGGGGTATTGTACGGTCCCGTTCGCGGCCGTTTTGTCGGGATGTCTCAAGCGGTTTGCTTGTTCCCCATATCCTAAGTATGGGGTTCTTGTTATTCCCCATATCCTAAGTATGGGGTTTTTGTTCCCCATATCCTAAGTATGGGGTTCTTGTTATTGGCGGACCGCGCCGGAGGAGAACACAGACGAGAACACACCACTCCTCTCACTCAGACCCATTCAGACTCACTCATCACGCAGACTCACTCATCACGCAGACTCACCCATCACTCAGACTCACTCAGCATTCAGACCCACTCATCAGTCAAACTCACTCATCACTCAGACTCACTCATCACTCAGACTCAGGCATGACTCAGACCCACTCATCACTCGGACTCAGTCATGATTCAAACTCATCACTCATCATTCAGACTCATTCATTTTTCAGACTCACTCATCACTCAGACTCACTCATCACTCAGACTCACTCGTACTTGTACTCATACATTCACTACACTCACTCAGGTCCACTCATCGGATGACTCACACACACTGATGTTGAGGATGTGTCAGGCGATTTTGTGGCTTCAGCACTCCTAAGGAGAGCGGCGGGGGGGTATTTCCCTCGGCCCCTTTCGCGGATTTTTGTGGGGATGTCTCAGGCGGTTTGGCCATTTTCTCTTCCAACATGTTTCGCTTTCGGAGCAGTTCGCGAGGATGTCTCAGGCGATTCGCTGGTTTCAGCACTCCTAAGGGGAGCGGCGGAGGGGGGATTTCCGTCGGCCCCTTTCGTGGGATTGTGTGGGGATGTCTCAGGCGGTTTTGCTTTTTTCTCCTCCAACATGTTTCGTTTTCGGAGCAGATTTGGAGGATGTCTCAGTCGATTCGCTGGTTTCAGCACTGTAAGGGGAGCGGCGGGGAGGTATTTCACTCGGCCCTTTTCGCGGGAATTTGTGGGGATGTCCCAGGCGGTTTGGCCAGTTTCTCTTCCAACATGTTTCGCTTTCGAAGCAGATTTGGAGGATGTCTCAGGCGATTCGCTGGCTTCAGCACTCTAAGGGGGGCGGCGGGGGGGTATTTCACTCGGCCCCTTTCGCGGGATGTTGTAGGGATGTCTCAGGCGGTTTGGCCACTTTCTCTTCCAACATGTTTCGCTTTCGGAGCAGATTTGGAGGACGTTCGCGCCCAGATTGCGGGTATGTCTCAGGCGGTTTGGCCGTTATGATGCTGGGCACCTGTCGTTTTCGGAACAGTTTTGGGAGGATGTCTCAGGCGATTTGCTGGTTTCAGCACTCCCAAGGAGGAGGAGGAGGAGGAAGAAGAGGAGGAGGAGCAGGAGGAGGAGGAAGAGAAGGAGGAAGCGAGGAGGAGGAGGAGGAGGAGGAGTACGAGGAGGAGGAGGAGGAGGAGGAGAAGGAGGACAGCATGAACACGGTAGGAGCAGAAGCAGGAAGGGGAGGATGATGAGGAGGAGGAGGAGGAGGAGGAGGACGTGGGCAACTCGAGTAGCCAGGGCCAGACGATCGAGGTTCGATGTTCCAAGGCTCTTAGGTTTTACTCAAACGCTTCCGCCTCGCTCTCCTTCGCTCTCCGCTCTCCTTCACTCTGCATTCATACTCACTCATACTCAGACTCAGTCACACGCAGGCTCACTCGCACTTAGACTCGCTCATATCCATACTTAAACTTACCCACACTCAGACTCACGCTCAGAACCACTCATACTCAGACTCGCTCCTGCTCAGACTCATTATCCTTCGGTCCGCTCAAACGCAGACCGACTCACACTCAGACTGCCTCACATCCATACCCAATCACACTCGGCTCACTCGCACTCAGATTCATTAACACACACTTTTTCTCACACTCAGACCCGCTCAAGCCCAGACTCACTCATGCTCAGACTCATCATGCTACGATCCGCTCAATCACAGACTGGCTCACACTCAGATTCGTCCATACTCAGACCCACTCGCACACAGACGCACTCGCGCTCAGATTTACTCACACGCATACCCAATCAAACCCAGGCTCAATCGCACCCAGATTAACTCACACTCAGAATCAGTCGCTCTCAGATTTGCTATTGGTCGCACTAATGCTTGCAGACTGTGGGAATGTCTCGAGCGAGCGGTTCGCCCTCGCACACAGGCGCTCATTGACAGATATCAATAGAAAGACGTACCAAAAGAATGAGATGCACGTATGGGGAGCCCCGCGTCGAGTAATTGTTGGCGGACGTCGCCGGAGGAAAGAGAACACACACACCACTCCTCTCATTCAAACCCACTCACTCATCACTCAGATTCACTCATCACTCGGACTCAGTCATGACTCAGATTCACTCATCACTCAGACTCACTCATCACTCAGACTCACTCATCACTCAGACTCACTCATCACTCAGACTCACTCGTACTTGTACTCATACATTCACTACACTCACTCAGGTCCACTCATCGGATGACTCACACACACACACACTGATGTTGAGGATGTCTCAGGCGATTCTGTGGCTTCAGCACTCCTAAGGGGAGCGGCGAGTGGGTATTTCCCTCGGCCCCTTTCCCAGGATTTTGTGGGGATGTCTCAGGCGGTTTGGCCATTTTCTCTTCCAACATTTTTCGCTTTCGGAGCAGTTTGCGAGGATGTCTCAGGCGATTCGCTGGTTTCAGCACTCCTAAGGGGAGCGGCGGGGGGGTATTTCACTCGGCCCCTTTCGCGGGATTTTGTGGAGATGTCTCAGGCGGTTTGGCCAGTTTCTCTTCCAACATGCTTCGCTTTCGGAGCAGATTTGGAGGATGTCTCAGGCGATTCACTGGCTTCAGCACTCCTAAAGGGAGCGGCGGGGGGGTATTTCACTCGGCCTCTTTCGCGGGAGTTTGTGGGGATGTTTCAGGCGGTTTGGCCATTTTTTGTTCCAACATGCTTCGTTGTCGGAGCAGTTTTGGAGGATGTCTCAGGCGATTCGCTGGTTTCAGCACTCTAAGGGGAGCGGCGGGGGGGTATTTCACTCGGCCCCTTTCGCGGGATTGTGTGGGGATGTCTCAGGCGGTTTGGTGATTTTCTGGCCCAGCGTCTCTCGACTTTGGAGCCCACGAACAGGAATGAGAGGAGGAGGAAGAGGAGGCGGAGGAGGAAGAGGCAAGAGGAGGAGGAGGAGGCGAGCATGATCACGAGTAGGAGCAGGAGCAGGAAGGTGATGATCATGATGATGACGATGACGGTGATGATGATGATGATGATGATGATGATGATGATGATGATGATGATGATGATGATGATGATGATGATGATGATGATGATGATGATGATTATGCTGCTGTTTGCCCTGCTCGCTCGGAGGCTTCTGGGGCAGGAGGAGAAGAAGGAGGAGGCCAGGAGGAGGTGGCCAGGAGGAGGAGTCGGAGGAGGACGAGTGGAGGAGAAGGAGGAAAAGGAGGGCTCGAAGGGAGGAGTGGAAGATGAGGAGGTCGAAGGGGGAGGTGGAGCAGTCCCTGGGAGCGGAGCAGGAGCAGAGCACGGGTAGGGTACCGGGAGCGGGGCCTGGGAGCGGAGCAGGAGCACGGGTAGGGGGTGATGACGATGATGATGAGTATGATCATGATGATAATGATAACCATGAAGAGCATGACGATGATGATGATGATGATGATGATGATGATGATGATGATGATGATCATCATCATCATCATCATCATCATCATCATCATCATCATCATGACCCCGACGACGAGGAGAAGGAGGCGAGCATGAGCACGAGTTAGAGCAGGAGCAGGAAGGGGATGATCACGATGATCACGATGATCACGATGATCACGATGATCACGATGATGATGATGATGATGATGATGATGATGATGATGATGATGATGATGATGATGATGATGATGATGATGATGATGATGATGATGATGATGATGATGCTGATGATGATGATGCTGATGCTGATGCTGATGATGATGATGATGATGATGATGATGATGATGATGATGATGATGATGATGATGATGATGATGATGATGCGATGACGATGACGATGATAATGATGATGACAATGAGGGGAATGAGGAGGAGGAGGCTGGGGAGGATAATGAGGAGGACGACGCTGATGAGGATGAGGATGAGCAATGAGGATGCACAGTGCACAATGAGGAGGAGGAGGAGGAGGAGGAGGAGGAGGAGGAGGACGAGGGGGAGGAGGGGGAGGAGGAGGAGGAGGAGGAGGAGCCAGGTCGGGGATGAGGATGAGTAGGAGGACGAGGAGGAGGAGGAGGAGGAGGAGGACGAGGGGGAGGAGGAGGGGGAGGAGGAGGAGGAGGAGGAGGAGGAGGAGGAGGAGGAGCCAGGTGGCTGAGGGGTGGTATAGGAGGAGGAAGAGGGGGGGCAGGAGGACGAGGAGGCGGAAGAGGAGGAGGAGGCGGAAGAGGAGGAGGCGGAAGAGGAGGAGGAGGAAGAGGAGGAGGCGACCAATTTTCTGTCCCAGCATCTTTCGCTTTCGGTGCAGATTTGGAGGATGTCTCGAACGAGGCGGTCATTTTCACGTTCCTAAGGGGAGCCGCCGATGGGTATTTCACGGTCCCGTTTGCGGCCGTGTTGTGGTGATGTATCAAGTGGTTTGTTTGTTTTCTGTCCCAACATGCTTCGCTTTCGGACAGATTTGGAGGATGTCTCGAGCGAGGCGTTCATTTTCACCTCCCTAAGGGGAGCCGCCGAGGGGTATGTCACGGTCCCGTTCGCGGCCGTTTCGTGGGGAGGTCTCAAGCGGTTTGCTTGTTTTCTGTCCTAACATGCTTCGTTTCCGGAGCAGTTTTGGAGGATGTTTCGAGCGAGGCGCTCATTTTCATTTCCCAGGTGGGCCAGATTTTGAGGATGCCTCGATCGGTTTGCATGTTTTGGTGGCCAGACTCGTGGGCACAGGAGGCTCCAACAGGCTCCAGGAGGCCCAAGGAGACCACATGAGGTCCCAGGAGGCATCAGGAGGCTACAGAAAGACCCAAGAGGCCACAGGATGTCCCAGGCTCCAGGAGGCCCCAGGAAGCTCCAGAAGGCCTCAGGAAGCCACAGGAGGCCCCAGGAGGCCAGAGGATGCGCCAGGAGGCCTCAGAAGGCAACAGGAGGCCCCGAGAGGCCCCAGGAGCAGGAGGCTTCACAAGGCAACAGGAGTGGCTCCAACCCCATGTGTTTTACGTACGCTGCTATAGACTGGGCCTCACCTGGAGCACGCACCCTTGACGTTGTACGTATGTCTCTATAGGTTGTCCTTCTCCCGTGTACACAATCCGAGCTGTTTTGCCTATGCTCCTATATCTTGGGCCTCTCCTGGGGCACGATTCCTTTTGTGTTCTCATGTAACCATATAGACTGCCTTTCTCCTGCGGCTCCAATCCGCAACGTTTTATGTACGTCTGTTGCTATATATTGGGCCTCTCCTGGGGCACGAATCCTCCCTAGGAGGTCCCAGGAGGCCCCAAGAGGCTCCTGGAGGCCCCGGGAAGCCCCAGTAGGTTGCAGGAGGCCCCAGGAGGCCCCAGGTTCATGCGCATAGGCGCGCTCGTACTACTGAGGCTCATCCACGCTCAAATTCATTCGCAGTCAGATTCATGACCAGTCGCACCATTCATTCGAAAGCTCTTGCGCCTAGATATTCACGGCGGACAGGTCCAAGCGAATAGATGCACATATGGGGAGCTCCACGCAGTGAGTAATTGGCGGACCGCGCCGGAGGAGAGAGAACACACCACTCCTCTCACTCAGACCCACTCACTCATCACTCAGACTCACTCATCACTCAGACGCACTCATCACTCAGACTCACTCATCACTCAGACTCACTCATCACTCGGACTCAGTCATGACTCAGACTCATCACTCATCATTCAGACTCACTCATCACTCAGACTCACTCATCACTCAGACTCACTCGTACTTGTACTCATACATTCACTACACCCACTCAGGTCCACTCATCGGATGACTCACACACACTGATGTTGAGGATGTCTCAGGCGATTCTGTGGCTTCAGCACTCCTAAGGGGAGCGGCGGGGGGATATTTCATTCGGCCCCTTTCGCAGGATTTTGTGGGGATGTCTCAGGCGGTTTGGCCATTTTCTCTTCCAAAATGCTTCGCTTTCGGAGCAGATTCGGAGGATGTCTCAGGCGATTCGCTGGTTTCAGCACTCCTAAAGGGAGCGGCGGGGGGGTATTTCACTCGGCCCCTTTCGCGGGATGTTGTGGGGATGTCTCAGGCGGTTTGGCCATTTTCTTTTCCAACATGTGAGCAGATTTGGAGGATGTCTCAGGCGATTCGCTGGTTTCAGCACTCTAAGGGGAGCGGCGGGGGGGTATTTCACTCGGCCCCTTTCGAGGGATTTTGTGAGGATGTCTCAGGCGGTTTGGCCATTTTCTGTTCCAACATGTTTCGCTTTCGGAGCAGACTTGGAGGATGTCTCAGGCGATTCGCTGGCTTCAGCACTCCTAAAGGGAGCGGCGGGGGGGTATTTCACTCGGCCCCTTTCGCGGGATGTTGTGGGGATGTCTCAGGCGGTTTGGCCATTTTCTCTTCCAACATGTTTCGCTTTCGGAGCAGACTTGGAGGATGTCTCAGGCGATTCGCTGGCTTCAGCGCTCTAAGGGGAGCGGCGGGGAGGTATTTCACTCGGCCCCTTTCGAGGGATTTTGTGAGGATGTCTCAGGCGGTTTGGCCATTTTCTCTTCCAACATGTTTCGCTTTCGGAGCAGACTTGGAGGATGTCTCAGGCGATTCGCTGGCTTCAGCACTCCTAAGGGGAGCGGCGGGGGGGTATTTCACTCGGCCCCTTTCGCGGGATGTTGTGGGGATGTCTCAGGCGGTTTGGCCATTTTCTCTTCCAACATGTTTCGCTTTCGGAGCAGACTTGGAGGATGTCTCAGGCGATTCGCTGGTTTCAGCACTCTAAGGGGAGCGGCGGGGGGGTATTTCACTCGGCCCCTTTCGCGGGATGTTGTGGGGATGTCTCAGGCGGTTTGGCCATTTTTTCTTCCAACATGTTTCGCTTTCGGAGCAGATTTGGAGGACGTTCGCGCCCAGTTTGCGGGGATGTCTCAGGCGGTTTGGCCGTTATGATGCTGGGCATATGTTGTTGTCGGAGCAACTTTGGGAGGATGTCTCAGGCGATTTGCTGGTTTCAGCACTCCCAAGATGGAGGAGGAGGAGGAAGAGGAGGAGGAAGAGGAGAAGGAGGAGGAGGAGGAAAGGAGGAAGCGAGGAGGAGGAAGAAGAGGACGAGGAGGAGGAGGAGGAGAAGGAGGACAGCATGAACACGGTAGGAGCAGAAGCACGAAGGGGAGGATGATGATGATGATGATGAGGAGGAGGAGGAGGACGTGGGCAACTCGAGTAGCCAGGGCCAGACGATCGAGGTTCGATGTTCCAAAGCTTTAGGTTTTATTCAAACGCTTCCGCCTCACTCTCCTTCGCTCTCCGCTCTCCTTCACTCTTATGCATTCATACTCACGCATACTCAGACTCAGCCACACGCAGGCTCACTCGCACTTAGACCCGCTCATATCCATATTAAATGTACTCACATTCAGACTCACGCTCAGAACCACTCATACTCAGACTCGCTCCTGCTCAGACTCATCATCCTTCGGTCCGCTCAAACGCAGACCGACTCACACTCAGACTGCCTCACATCCATACCCACTCACACTCGGCTCACTCGCACTCAGATTCATTAACACACTTTTTTCTCACACTCAGACCCACTCAAGCCCAGACTCACTCATGCTCAGACTCATCATGCTACGGTCCGCTCAATCACAGACTGGCTCACACTCAGATTCGTCCATACTCAGACCCACTCGCACACAGACGCACTCGCGCTCATATTTACTCACACGCATACCCACTCAAACCCAGGCTCAATCGCACCCAGATTAACTCACACTCAGAATAAGTCGCTCTCAGATTTGCGATTGGTCGCACTCATGCTTGCAGACTGTGGGAATGTCTCGAGCGAGCGGTTCGCCCTCGCACACAGGCGCTCATTGACAGATATCAAGAGAAAGACGTACCAAGAGAATGAGATGCACATATGGGGAGCCCCGCGTCGAGTAATTTCACGGTCCCGTTCGCGGCCGTTTTGTGGGGACGTCTCAAGCGGTTTGTTTGTTTTCTGTCCCAACATCCTTCGCTTTCGGGGCAAATTTGGAGGATGTTTCGAGCGAGGCGCTCATTTCCACTCCCCTAAGGGGAGCCGCCGAGGGGTATTGCACAGTCCCGTTCGCGGCCGTTTCGTGGGGATGTTTCAGAATGCCACAGGAGGCTCCAACAGGCTCCAGGAGGCCCCAGGAGACCACATGAGGTCCCAGGAGGCATCAGGAGGCCACAAAAAGATTCGAGAGGCCACAGGATGTCCCAAGAAGCCCCAGGAAGTTCCAGAAGGCCTCAGGAAGCCACAGGAGGCCCCAGGAGGCCAGAGGAAGCGCCAGGAGGCCTCGGAAGGCAACAGGAGGCCCCGAGAGGCCCCAGGAGCAGGAGGCATCAGAAGGCAACAGGAGTGGCTCCGATCCCATGTGTTATACGTATGCTGCTATCGATTGGGCCCCACCTGGAGCACGATTCCTTGATGTTATACGTATGTTTCTATAGATTGTCCTTGTACACGATCCTACATGTTTTACTTTTGTTCCTACATTTTGGGCCTCTCCTGGGGTACGAGTCCTTGGTGTTTTACGCGTGTTCCTATGGATTGCCCTTCTCCTGCGGTTCCAATCCGCAATTTTTTATGTACGTCAGTTGCTATAGATTGGGCCTCCCCGGGGGCACGAAGCCTCCCTAGGAGGCCCCAGGAGTCCCCAAGAGGCTCCTGGAGACCCCAGGAAGCCCCAGTAGGTTTCAGGAGGCCCCAGGAGGCCCCAGGCTCATGCGCAGAGACGCACTCGTACTACTGAGGCCCATTCACACTCCAATTCATTCTCAGTTAGATTCATGTCCACACCGTCACACTTGAAGCCCGCTTATATTCGAAAGCTCTTGCGCCTAGACACTCACGGCGGACAGGTCCATGCGAATAGATGCACATATGGGGAGCCCCACGCAGTGAATAATTCTGGCTTGGCGTGGGAGCAGCTTTCTGTCCCGGGACGAAAGTTTCTGTTGGCGGGAAAGCCGTTGCCGTCTTATCGGCCCCCAGAGCGGGGGACATAGCGATAGCCGGCGGCGCACGCCCGTCCAGAATTTCATACCGAGCGCCGTGAGGCCGCCGCGCGCAGCCCCACACCGCGCGCGCCGAGGGCGCTGCCGGCGCACAGCGCACGGCGCGCCGACGAGAGATTGAGGACCACTGCGGGCTCTGGAAGGGCTCTGGTTTCAGGCCTCGGGGGGCGCGTCATGAGGAGGCGATCAATGGGGGGGCTGCGAGGGCTGCAGAAAGGGGGTCCTTCAGGGCCCCTTAAAGAGGCCCTTTAGGGCCCAGAAGGGGGCCTTCAGGGCCCGAAAATGCCAACCCTGCCTTCCCCCCCTCCCCATTATCGCCACTCCATTGATTCGCGCCCCAACACCGTTCCTTAGGCCTGGGCCCGGGAGCCTCTTCGTGGCCGAGGCCCGCCGCGACGAACGAGAAGCCCTTGGCTCATGCTTCGGCGCTCGCCGTGGCAGCACGACGGCCTGCACCGCCGGGCGCAGGGCAAGCGCAGGCGGGTGCCACGGGCGCACACGCGCGGTGATCGGCAGTGCGCCTGAGTGCAGCCCGCCGCGAGAAGGAAAGGGAGAACAGCGCCACCAGCTCGCCAGCGAGGCAGAGTGCCGCGGCCTGGCCGAGGAGGTGAGGGCCCTGCAGGCCTCCCCGCGCCTGCCCAGAGGGGGCAGAGGGGAGGAGGAGATCTCGGAGCCTCCCTCGCGCCAGTCGAAGACCACAGAAAACGGTGCAAGCATGAACGTTCGGAGCTGCGCGCGAACTCCTCGGATCTAGCGCCGATCCGACAAAAAAAGCGCGGACCTCCGAAAGGTTATGTTTATGCCATTTCTCCTTCCGACTTCCCACGCTGGCCTCGCCTCCACACCTCGACCGCGGCCTCGCGACCAGGAAACCGAAACAATATCAGAGGGCCTTGCTCTTCATTTTATCTTGTGACTACATGCGAAGGCTGGGGGAGCGTGGACAGATGCGATTTTGGAGCAGGAAAGGCAGGAAAAGCTTGTACTTCAGATGATTCGCAGCTCTCGCTGCCAGGAAGCCTGTAAAATACAAAAGGTTCCTGTGTTTACCATTTGTTTTGGCGACTACAGACGAAGAAGGGAGGAGCGTGGCCTAGACAGTTCAAAAGGCTTGGAAAACAAATGTATGTCACTGGTTCCGCAGCCATCGCGAACAGGAAACATGTAAAAACCCAATTGTTTTTGCTTTTCATCTTCTGGTGGCTACAAGCGAAGAGAGGAGGAACGTGGCCAGAAGTTCAAAATAAGCAGGAAATAATTTTGTATTGTGAAGGCCTTACGGCCGGTGCCGCCGACCCTGAAGGCGGGACCTTCCCCCAGGACCCCGCTGGCGACCCCCCCGCCGAACCCGCCGGGACCCCCCCAAGGCGGGGGGGGCGGTATGCTAACGCGGGACCACCCCCCGCACACCACAGGCGGGACCTTCCCCAGGGCCTCCGCTGGCGACTCCCCCAGGGACCCAGGACCCCGCTGGGGACCCACCCACCCCCAGAACCTGCCAGGACCTGGGACGGGGGATCGGTATTGTGACCCCGGACGATCCCCCCCACACCACACGCGGAATTTTCCTTGGGTCCCCCGCTGGAGACCCTCCCCCCCCCCCCCCCTGGACCCGCTGAGACCCCGGGGGGGAGCGGCAATCTGACTCGGGAACCACCCCATACCCCATCCCCGTACCCACCTCTTTTTCCCCCCCGTCAGTGAAGGGAAGAAGGGGAGGGAATCGACTTCATTACGACTTGTCTTTTCCTTGTTCATTCTGGAATTTCCGTGGGATTGGCGACGACGACGAAGACGACGACAGCGTTTCACACATGCCGAAGGGTCGGCGGATCTCACAGGTTCCACAACCAACGCGGAATGGAAAACCTTAAAAATATGAAGCCACCAGAGGGAACTTGCAGAGATTCCCTACCCATCGTGGCCCGAGCAGATCCGATTGTAGAAGCCTTTACTGAAGGAAACCTTGCTAAAGGAATCCTTACAGTGGAACCCCATGCCAATAAACACCATGTTTGCCTCCAGGGTGCCCAGGGTTTCTTGGGTTTCGATGGTTTCCTTTGGAAAGCGTAACGCCCCCATGCAAAAACCAACGTTCGTCCTAGGGTCTCAGGGTTGGGTTTATTGTGGAAGGTTTCTTGTGGTCGAGCTCCTACTGGACTAGAGCAACCCTCACTGAGGAGTGTTTTTGTTATATTATATATATATATATATATATATATATATATATATATATATATATACATACACCAACAAACGGTGAGCCATTATAGAAAAAGCCTCATTGGGAGACGTTGCATTAAAGAGAAAAGTTCTCACGGATCCCCCTTTCAAGTCATGTGTATTGAATGGATTTTTGCCCACGGACGCATCAATGCAACAACCATCATTCTGGAGCCTTGCAAAGAAGGAATCATGTAAGACATAAAAGCTTACTGCAGGTATCATTAATCAATGGGCCCCTCTCCAACGTAGTACGTATAAAAGTGTACAACCTTTGATGGGAACCGTTACAACAAGAATCCTTACCGAAGGATCATGGATGAATGAATCCTAATTCGGGAAACACTTACCCACAGGAATCCTCACCTGACGGATTCTTATCAAAACGAACCATTGCGAGGGGAATCCTTACCGAATGAGTCTTCATTAAGCCCATGATCAAGGAAGACTCTTCGGTCCACCATCATTCGATAAATACTGACTCAAAAGTAATCCGCACCCAGATATTGCTCCCCAAAGAGGCCGAACTTAATGAGTCATCACGGTCGGGAGTCTTATTAAAGAACGTCGATATTACATAAACAGGTCCTCCAGGGATATTTTATCAAAGGGCCATTACCACTTGCACTCTTATTTGGGAAGCCTGGGGAAGCCAGAATTCGAAGGAATTCTCGGAACGGGGATCAGCACGAAGGAGGGAGAGAGAGGGAGAGGTAGCATGTTCCTCAGGATGGGGGGGGAGGGAGAGAGAGAGAGAGAGAGAGACAACAACAAAAAACAAGAGCAATATCAAAAGCAAGGGAGGAGAGAAAACAGACAAAAAAAAAACTGGCGGAGAACCCAACCATCTGCAGTTGTGGGTACCGCATTTGTGAATATCTTCTTCGGTGAAGTTCCGCTCCCTATGGGGCCACGACGCGTTGCACTGGGTGGGGGGGAACGCATGCGGGCGGTAGCAGTGGGGCCGTCGGTGGAGCTCCCTATGGAGCTACGAAACGTTGTATTGGGTGAGTGAAACTGCCAAATTCGGTGTGTGGGACGCACGCAGACGGTCCCACAGGGGGCTTCGGTGGAGCTCCTTATGGGGCCACGAAACGCTGAACTGGGCGGGTGAAAATGCCAACTTGGGCTTCCGGGGCGCACGCGGACGGTCCCACTGGCGGTTTCGGTGGAGCTCCTTATGGGGCCACGAAACGCTGCATTGATATGCGAAAATGTCAAATTGGGCTTCCGGGAAGCATGCGGACGGTCCCACTGGAGGCTTCAGTGGAGCTTCGGTGGAGCTCCTACTGGGCCCACGAAAAGTTATATTGGGTGGGTGAAAATGCCAAATTGGGTGCGTAGGCCGCACGCAGACGGCCCCACTGGGGGCTTCGGTGGAGCTTCTTATGGGGCCACGAAACGCTGTGCTGGGTGGGTGAAACTGCCAAATGGGGCGTGTGGGACGCACGTGGGCTGTCCCATTGGGGGCTTCGGTGGAGCTCCCTATTGGGGCCACGAAACGTTGTACTGGGTGGGTAAAAATGTCAAATTGCGTGTGCGGGACGCATGCTGGCGGTCCCACTGGGGGCTTCGGTGGAGCTCCCTATTGGGGCCACGAAGCGCTGCACTGGGTGGGTGGACATGCCAAACTGGGCGTGCGGGACGCATGCGGACGGTCCCACTGACCACGAAACGCTGTACTGGGTGTGGCGGACGCACGTGGCCACCCCAATTGTAGCCTTAGGTGGAGCTCCCTACGGGGGCCACGAAACGCTGTATTGGGTGTGGCGGACGCATGTGGCCACCCCACGGGCCTTGGGTGGAGCTCCCTATGGGGCCACGAAACGCTGTAGTGGGTGTCGGCGGACGCATGTGGCCACCCCCACTGGGGCCGTGGGTGGAGTTGCTTGTGGGGTCACGAAACGCTGTACTGGGTGTGGCGGACGCATGTGGCCACCCCCACTGGTGCGTTACGTGGACCTCCCTATGGGGCCACGAAGCATTGTACTGGGTGTGGTGGACGCGTGTGGACACCCCACGGGCCTTGGGTGGAGCTCCCTATGGGGCCACGAAACGCTGTACTGGGTGTCGGCGGACGCATGTGGCCACCCCCACTGGGGCCTTGGGGGGAGCTCCCTACTGGGGCCACGAAACGCTGTACTGGGTGTGGCGGACGCATATGGCCACCCCCACTGGGGCATTGGGTGGGGTTCCCCATGGGGCCACGAAACGCTGTACTGGGTGTGGCGGGCGCATGTGGCACCCCCACTGGGGGGGGCACGGGAGGAGGAGACGCGGGGACTGTCTCTTCAAAACGAGGACCCAACACCACAGGATGGCTCGGATATACATATATACATATATATATATATATATATAATATATATATATATATATATATATATATATATAATATATATATATATATATATATATATATATATATATATGTGCTCGCCCACCCCCCATGATCATGCATGTGTCCTTCTGTCTCCTCATCCTAAGCATCCTTCCCCCCCATCCTCGTCCTCCTCCTTCTCTCCCTCCCCATCCTCTCCCCTCATCATTTCTCCTCCTTTTCCCCTATTCATCTCCCTCTGGTCTTCCTCCTCCTCCTCGTTCTCATCCCTGTCATCCTCCTTCCTCCTCCTCCTCCTCCTCCTCCTCCTCCTCCTCCTCCTCCTCCTCCTCCTCCTGTCATACACATGCTCCCTTGATCCCTCCAGTCATTCCTCCCCCTTCCTCTTCTTGCTCTTCTTGATTATGTGTTGCTACGTTGTCAGACGAAACCTAGCCGATTGCATTCCAAGCACTTCATCGCGAAGCGGCTTCAATCGATGGAAACGCATTACAATCCAATCGATTGCGTTGCAACCGATCACTGGGAATCGTTTCGTGGAGGTTATTATCCCTCCTCCTCTTCCTCCTCCTAATCTTCCTCCTCATCCGCCTCATAATCCTCCTTCTCTTCCTTCCCATCCGCCTAAGTCTCCTTGTTGTGAAGGGTTTCAACGCGAATCCTTATGTTGATGTTTCCAATAGGGATCCTTATGTGGAGGATAGGAATCTTTCTGTTGAGGATTTCCTCCGTCCTCCTCATCCGCCTCATGTTTCCTCACCCTCTTCCTTATCCGCCTACGTTTCCTTGTGAAGGGTTTCACTCGGAATCCTGCTGTGGAGGGTTTCACCAAGAATCCTTTTGTGGCGGTTTTCAATAAGAGTCTTCTCCTCGTTCGCCTCATCTTCCACCTCCGTCTCAGCCGCATCATTATGCCTTTTGTTAAGGGTTCCATTAGGACTCTTTTGAGACGGGGGCAGGATGAATGGCGAGGAGAAGGATTTTCGGTGGAGAATGGAGGAGGAGGACCAGGAGGAGGAAGACGAGGAGGATGAGGAGCATCACGAAGGCAATGGTCAACAAATGACTCACGAAACCACTTGCGGAGCTGCGTTCTCAACTACATGCGTGAGTAACGTCTGGAGGCGGAGAGGAGCGGACAGGTTGGATTAGAGGAAGAGAAGATGGAGGAGGAGGTGGATGAGGAGAAAGAGGAGGTAAAGGAGGAAAAACAGGAGGGTGAGGAGAATGACAATTGTGAGGCGGAACGCGTTTTGCACAAAACTAGGTGTGGAGTGGCGTTCACACATAGTTTTGCGAGTAGTGTCTCGTAGCGGGAGGTTGCTCGCAAAACTAATTGCGCAGTTGAGTTCACAACTAGATTTATGGGTAACGCCTCGAAGCGGAGAGAAGGGGGCAGAATGGAGAGGAGCAGGAGGAGCAGGAAGAAGAGGAAGAGGAGAGTAGGGGCCAGAATGAAGAGGAGCAGGAGGCGCAGGAGAAGCAGGAAGAGGAAGATGAGGAGGGTGAGGAGAATGACGAAGGCGGGGAGAGAAACCATTACTCAGAGATCTAGTTGTGGAGCGGCGTTCGCAATTAGTTTTGTGAGTAATATCTCGAAGCGGGAGGTTACTCGCAAAACTAGTTGTGGAGTTATTTTCACAATTAGATTTGCGAGTAACGCCTCGAAGCGGAGAGGATGGGGCAGAATGAAAAGGAGCAGGAGGAGCATGAGGAGCAGAAGGAGCAGGAGGAGCAGGAAGAAGAGGAAGATTAGGGCAAGGATCACGACGAAGGTGGGGAGAAACTCATTACTCACAAAACTAGTGGTGCAGCTGCGTTCACAACTAGATTTGTAACGCCTCGAAGCAGAGAGGAAGGGGCAGAATGAAGAAGAGCAGGAGGAGCAGGAGGAGCAGAAGGATGAAGAAGAGGAGGGTGATGAGAATGACGATGACGAGGGGGAATTCATTACTCACAAAACTAGTTGTGGAGCGGCGTTCACACATAGTTTTGCGAGTAGTGTCTCGTAGCGGGAGGTTGCTCGCAAAACTAGTGTTGTCGTTGAGTTCACAACTAGATTTGTGAGTATCGCCTCGGAGAGGAGGGGGCAGCATGAAGAAGAGAAGGAGGAGCAGGAGGGGAGAGGAGCAGGAGGAGCAGGAGGAGGAAGAAGAGGAGAGTGAGGAGCATGACGAAAGCGTGGAGGAACTCATTACTCACCAAACTAGTTGTGGAGCGGCGTTCACACGTAGTTTTGCGAGTAGTGTTTCGTACCTGGAGGTCGCTCGCAAAACTAATTGTGCAGCTGCGTTCACAACTAGATTTGTGAGTATCGCCTCGAATCTGAGAGGAGGGGGCAGAATGAAAAGGAGCAGGAGGGGAGAGGAGCACGAGGAGCAGGAGGAGGAAGAGGAGAGTGAGGAGCATGACGATGACGAGAAGGAGCTCATTACTCACCAAACTAGTTGTGGAGCGGCGTTCACAATTAGTTTTGCGAGTAGTGTCTCGGTGCGGGAGGTTGCTCACAAAACTAGTTGTGCAGCTGCGTTCACAACTAGATTTGTGAGTAACGCCTCGAAGCGAGCAGGATGAGGAGGGTGAGGAGGAGCAGGAGGAGGGTGAGGAGGTGTAGAAGATCTCAATGGAATCTCCTTTCGCAGAGGATTTCAACAGGAATTTCTTTTGTGGAGGCCGAACGCCAGTGAAAACCCTTCAGAAAACAAAAAAACTATGAATTCGGGAGGCGAAAAACCCAAAAAGCAACAAGCATAAAAAGAACAAAAAAGTGTGTGTATATATATATGTCAAAAGGATGTAGAAAAATTAGGAAAGAGAAGAGAAGAGGGGGAGAGAGGAGGAGAAAAAGGAGAGAGAGAGAGAGAGAGAGAGAGAAGGAGAGAGAGAGAGAGAGAGAACGCTCTCTTCTCCTCCTCGCCTGCGTGTAGTTGACAGAGGAACAGGGGGCAGGAGAGGGACAGCTCATGTGTGTGATCCCACCCCTCAGCTCGGGCGTGATATTGCGTCACAGCCCCGGCCCCCCCCCGGGCGTGGCCCCGCCCTGCCAGCCACCTGCCCCGAGGCGCGACCCCGCCCTGCAGCCGCTGACTTCGGGCCTGGGCGCCGCCCCACAGCGGGCGGCCTCTCGGGCGCGTGCAGCCGCGCCCCCCCCCCCCCCTCCCCTCGCCCAGGCCGCCGTGCAGGCCTGGTCGGCCGACATCTCCCGAGTGCGCGGCAAGACCGGGTCGTTGAGGGCGGCGTTCGCCGAGGCGCGCCGGGCGGCGGCCACGGGGTCGTCGGGGGGGCCCCCGCAGCGCAGAAGAGGGGCGGAGGAGGAGGACGGACGAGGAGCAGCAGCAGCAGCAGAGGCTCGAAGGGCAGGAGAAGGGCGAGCAGGACGCGCAGGGGGATGGAGCGAGGGGGCGAGGAGGAGGAGGACTTGATGAGGAGCAGGAGGAGGGAGAGGAGAGGAGGACGGAGGAGGGAGGGAGGGGGGAGGGAGAGGGAGACGGAGAGGGAGAGGGAGAGGGAGAGAGGAGGCAAGAAATAGGGTGAGCAAAGAGGGGGGAGGAGGGAGACGGAAGGGAGGATGTAGAAGAAGCAGGAGGAGGCAGGAGCCCCCAAGACCATCCCAAAACGGCCCAATAGGCCTCCAAGAGGGCCCCAACACAGCCTAAGGGCGCCCCAAGACGGCCCAAGAGGCGCCCAAGACGGCCCCAAAAGGGGCCCAGGAGAGGGAACACGAACCGACAATCCGAGGCGTCCGCCCCAAGCCCCCCAGGAAGCCCCAAGCGACGCCCGAGAGGCCCCCCAAAGAGGCCCAAAAGAGGCCCTAAGAGGCCCCCAAACGGCCCCTAAGAGGCTCCAAGGGGCGCCCAGGAGGCCCCAAGAGGCGCCCAAGAGGCCCCAAGAGGCCCCCAAGAGGCCCCATGAGGCCCAAAAGACGCCGCGAGAGGCCCCAACGGCCCCCAAGAGGCGTCGTAACTGCTTCCAAGAGGCCCCCGACAGGCCTCCCACAGGATCCCAACGAACATCCAATAGGCTTCACACCTACAACCCAGGCGCGGTGGCGGGATCGGCCGAAAGCCATTCGATCCGCCGCCCCCTGTCGATTCATCGCAGCGGTGCCTGGCGTGCCAGATCCTTTCGGTTTTGGTTTTTGTTCTTTCTTTTAGACTTCGGCTCGAGTCCATGGACTGCCTGTGCTATACCTCTCCGGAGACAGATTGGCGGCGCTGCGTGCTATGTAAAATTGTTGGAACCACAGGGGGAGGGGAATAGAGGGCCGGCAGAGGAGGAGGAAGAGAAGGCGTTCAGAAGAGCTCTCCCTGGCGCTTCGGCCCGTCCCGCCACCGTGCCGTTCGCTCGGGACATCCTCAAAAAATCGCGAAGATGGCCCGATTCGCTCGGGACATCTTCAAAAAATCTCTTCCAGGAGCGCAAACACGGAAAATCCTCCCTGGGCATACTCAAAAAATCGCGAAGATGGCCCAAGATGGCCTCCAAGTCCGCCCAAGATGGCCCAAGACGGCCTCCAAGACGGCCCAAGAGAGTCCAAGACGGCCCAAGACGGCCCAAGAGGCCCCCCAGAGGCCTCCCAGACGGCCCAAGAGGCCTCCAAGAGGTCCTCCAGGAGGGCCCGCAGAGGCCGAAATCTTTGATTTTTCTTAATTAGGTTTTTGAAGGATTTTGGAATTCGTTTCTTCTCGGCTTTCCGACTGCTCAAGACGGCCCAAGAGGCCCCCAAGAGGGCCCCATGACGGCCCAGGTTGTCTCCAAGACAGCCCCAAGAGGGCCCAAGAGTGGCCTCCAAGACGGCCCCATCACGGCCAAGATGACCTTCAAGATGCCCACGTGTTCCCCGAAGGCTTTCCAAACCGATTCGGGGAACACATGGTCCGATAGCTTGGCAGGCCTCTGGCCACAATATTCGGCCACATAGACGCTTCCAAAAAGGCAGGGGGCGGCGGTGATTCGCCGTAGGCGTCTTCGATATATGTATACGCATATGCATATGTGCATGAGTGTATATGTTTATAAGCATACAACAAATAAATATATATATATATTGAGAGAGAGAGGAAGAGAAAGAGAGAAAGAAAGAAAGAAGGAAAGGAAAAGAGAGCGAGAGAGAGGAAACAAGTTAGAGAGAGAGCGGGAGAGCGAGAGAGCGAGAGAGAGAAACCTCGCGTAAGGTCGCTGTATCTTCTTGCGCACGACCTGTTCCTTTTCGCTTTTCACTTGCGTCAGACATTCTCTACCACTTGCAGTCGTTCCGCCACCGCGGGTGGTCGTTCTGCCGTTTAACCAGGCGGTTGCTTTACCGCTTCGCCGGGTGGATCTTGGCTCCGACGTGGCTTGTCGGGAGCGAGCCAGCGGCCCCGCCGACGCCGAAGATGCCCCTGGCCCCGCTCCGTCGGCTGCCCGTGAGAGTGCCCCTTCTCGGCATTCCGACGGCTCAAGACGGCCCAAAAGGCCCCCAAGATCGCCCAAGAGGCACCCAGGAGGGCCCCATGACGGCCTAAGTGGCCTCCAAGACGGCCCCAAGAGGGCCCCAAGACGTCCCAAGAGGCCTCCAACACGCCCAAGAGGCCTCCAAGACGCCCAAGATGGCCTCCAAGACGGCCCCGAAGCGCCCCAAGAGGGCCCCAAGTCGGCCCAGAAAGGCCCCCAAGACGGCTCTCGACGGCGTCAGACGTGCCAGGAACCCACCAAGATTGCCGAAGTTGACTCAAAGCTGGCCCAAGACGGCCCAAGAGGCCCCCAAGAAGGCCTCCAGGAAGGCCAGAAGAGGCCAAAAACATGGATTGTCCTGAGGTATTTGACGGATTTTGACATTTGCTTCTTTTCGGCCTTCCGACGGCCCGAGACGGCCCAAGAGCCCCAAAGATCGCCGCAAGATCGCCCAAGAGGCCTCCAGGATGGCCCCAGAACGGCCCAAGAGGGCCCCAAGACGGCCCCAAGAGGCCCCCAAGACGGCACAGGAGGCCTTTAAGACGCCCAAGATGGTTTTCAAGACGGCCCTGGAGCATTCCAAGAGGGCCCCAAGTCGGCCCATAGAGGCCCCCCAAACGGCTTCCGACGGCGTCAGACGGACCAGGAGCCCACCAAGACGGCCGAACATGGCTCTAAGATGGCCCAACACGGCCCAAGAGGCTTCCAAGAGGGCCTCCAGGAAGGCCCGAAAACGCCAAAATCATTGATTTGCCATGGGTTTTTGAAGGATTGTGGCATTTGCTTTTGTCTGCCTTCCGACGGCCCGAGACGGCCCAAGTGCCCACAAAGATCGCCCAAGAGGCCCAAGACACGGCCCCAAGAGGCCCCCAAGACGGCCCAAGAGGTCTCCAAGGCGCTCAAGATAGCCTTCAAGACGGCCCAAGTGCCCTCCAAGACGTCCTCCAAGAAGGCCCGAAAGGGTCAGAATGGCCTCCAGACGGCCAAGATGACCTTTAAGATGCCCACGTGTTCCCCGAAGGCTTTCCAAACCGATTCGGGGAACACATGGTCCGATAGCTTGGCAGGCCTCTCTGGCCACAAGCTTCGGCCACATAGGCGCTTCCAAAAAGGCAGGGGGCGGCGGTGATTCGCCGTAGGCGTCTTCGATATATGTATACGCATATGCAGATGTGCATGAGTATATATGCATACAAACGTACAATATATATATATATATATATATATTGAGAGAGAGAGAGAGGAAGAGAGAGAGAGAGAGAAAGAAAGAAAGAAGGAAAGGAAAAGAGAGCGAGAGAGAGGAAACAAGAGAGAGAGAGAGAGCGGGAGAGCGAGAGAGAGAGAGAGAAACCCGCGTAAGGTCGCTGTATCTTCTTGCGCACGACCTGTTCCTTTTCGCTTTTCACTTGCGTCAGACATTCTCTACCACTTGCAGTCGTTCCGCCACCGCGGGTGGTCGTTCTGCCATTTAAACCAGGCGGCTGCTTTACAGCTTCGCCGGGTGGATCTTGGCTCCGACCTGGCTTGTCGGGAGCGAGCCAGCGGCCCCGCCGACGCCGAAGATGCCCCTGGCCCCGCTCCGTCGGCTGCCCGTGAGAGTGCCCCTTCGCCGGCATGACGTGTGGTGCGGGCCCGAAGCGGTGCCCCGAGCGTTGGCTTTCGAAGAAGAAACAACGCCATAAACAACAACGTTTCCCGCTCCGCGCGGATTTCTTGGATCCGCGCTGGGCCCCCCCCCCCTGGCTGCGCCTCCAGCGCCGCCCCTGGCGCGCCGCGCGCCAGGGAGGGGGTCCAGCGCAGATCAAAGAAATCCGCGCGGAGCGCCAAAAGTGTATGTTTATGGCGTTTTTTCTTCTTCTCGGCTTACGCGCTTGGAACTGCGCTCCCCCGCGGCCCCCGAAAGCCGCGCACCAAGGAGCATGTTTGCTTTGGGTCACTCTTTGCGTGTACTGTCGGACCGAGGTAACTCTAAGATGGAGGTCGGTTTGGGGAGGGTGCCTTGGGGTTCTCCGTGCTCGTGGGACTTCGGTGCGCACCCTGAGGGGTGGGGGGGGGGCACTCTTGGATGTTTCGTTTGCCTTGCCCGACGGAGCGTCTCATGTTCTGGAGGGATGTTCTTCTGGTCCAGGTCCCACTGTATCCGCCGACTGGGGTGTCCCAGAGGATTGTGATGCTCAAGTGAATGTTGCGGGCTTTGGCCCAGCAGGGGTTGCGCCATCGGGGAGGGGGCTCGTGCACACAGGAGGAAGAAGGGCAGCAGGAAGCTAATGAGCTGGGGGCGGAAGAGCAAGAGGAGGAGGAGGAGGAGGAGGAGGAGGAAGATCAAGAATTCGGAGGAGGAGGAGAAGCAGAAGGATACTCTCTGCGCGCAGCCGGCTCAGGCGCGACACGTGGTGCTGTCCGAGCTCGGGGCGGCGGCCGCACCGCAGCGGCAGAGACCGCCGAGCCGTGCCGAGGCGCGTGCCCCCTGCGCCGGCGGGCGGGGTGCCCCTCGCGCGCGCGCGGAGGGCGGCGAATCACCGAGCGCGCTCCGCTGCAGTGGAGACGCCGTGCCAAGAAACACCCTGCTTGCCTCCAGGGTGCCCTGGGTGCCTTGGGTGTCGATGGTCTCGCTGTGGAGAGCGTGACGCTCCCACACCCCCAGAAATCCATGACGCCCCGGGGTCTCAGGGTTGAGTTTCTGGTGGAGGGTTTCTCGTGGTCGAGCTCCCACTGTACCCGCACACTCGCGCACGCTCGTCCTGGCAGGGCGGAGGGTCGGAGGGCCTGGGGCCTCCAGCTCCGCGCCGTCGGTCGAGGGGAGCGGGCGGCACCGCCAGGGCTTCTGGCGTGGAGGAGTGGGTCACAGAGCGCGTGCCGCTGCTCGCAGAGGGCCTACTCGCACACATCTGAACAACAAAAAATATGTCTTCCTACATTCGAAGAAGGAGAACGCCATAAGCTTAAACTTTTGGCGCTCCGCGCGGAGCGCCAAAAGTTTAAGCTTATGGCATTGTTCCTTCTCCTAAACATGAGATTCATCGTAGATCGCCCACGGCGGATCCAGGCCATTTGCGAGGAGTTCCTCTGTGAGTAGTGGAACGCGCTTGCCTAGCGAAGGTCGCCGAGGGCCTGTCAGCCCAGACCTCCCCGCGTCGTGAAACAAAAAGCGCTTCGCTAGAGGGTTCTAACAGTGGTCAAAGAGGGCCCCAGCAGAGTCCCACGCAAAGGGGGGCGGAGAGCCCTAGATCGCCCGGTCCAGCAGCCGTTTCGCTGGAGATCTCCTCAATTGATTCGCAATGCTGGCTACACTGTTGGTTCGGAAGGCCACGATCTTTTTGTAAACAGTGCATTGAGACGCATGAGCCCGGCGCGACCCCAATTACGAGAAAGTTTCTTATTGGGCGCAGTGCTTGGCATTGATTGGCATTGCTTGGCATTGCAAGGAACCCGAGGAATGCGAGGAACCCGAGGAACCCGCGGAGTCCGAGGAACCCGAGCAATCCGAGGAACCCGAGGCACCCGAAAAACCCGAGGAACCCGAGGAGCCCGAGGAGCCCGAGGAACGCGGGGAACTTCCGAGCAACGGGCAACGTAAGAATCGGAGGAACAGAGGGTGAGGAACCCAGATAACCCGAGGAGCCCAGGGAATTCTCCGAGCAACGGGCCACGTAAGAATCCGAGGCACCAACATTTAACCAAGTAAGAGCCCCGTAGGCAAGCCGAATTGGGGAGCATGCCAGTGCGCTTTCTGAGGATTTTTAGGAATGCACGTTTTCACGAGCGTACCTCCTACCCTCGATTCGCCTCTTGACCTTTGATGCTAGTTTGGTGTCTTGCTGGGATGTTGCTAGTTTCGGTTTCTGGCGGCCCGCCCCGGTCCCCAGGACCGTCGGAAACCGCTTCCAGACGAAGAGCTGGTCCCAGGGAAGGGGCCGATTTCTCTTGGGGTCGACGTTGCGAAAGAATCATGACGTGGGGGTTATGAGGAGGAGGAGGAGGAGGAGGAGGAGGAGGAGGAGGAGGAGGAGGAGGAGGAGGAGGAGGAGGAGGAGGAGGAGGAGGAGGAGGAGGAGGAGGAGGGGAGGGGGAGGGGGAGGGGGAGGGGGACGGGAGGGGGAGGAGGAGGAGGAGGAGGAGGAGGAGGAGGAGGAGGAGGAGGAGGAGGAGGAGGAGGAGGAGGAGGAGGAGGAGGCAGACCCAGGAGGAGTGCGGCAGGCTCGTGCCGTGTATCGCCGCAGCGGCGACCACGCCGCGGACGTGCAGGGCCGGACGCCACAAGGGGCCCAGATTCGGCTAGCAGGGCACGATCTGGCGATCGAGAAGCTTCAGGAGGGGAAAAAAAACACAGACACAATTAATCGTCGATTCCCCAGAAAGTATGGGAAAATATGGGGAGTCGGGGGGAAGACAAGAACCCAGAAAATATAGGAAAATATGTGGAATCCTGTTATTTGTATGTATTTATTTGTGTGTCCCAGGGCCCCTTCAAAGTTGCCGATCGTTCAAGGCTGAACGATCTCGCGCGGCGTCAGGAGCAAGCGCTGAGGTCGTCGCGACAAGAGCTTGCCGCAGGTCAGCCCAGGGTGATCTGGAGCGCGGTGGAGCGGCGCGGCGCCCGACGCATCATCCAGAGCCAGCTGGCTCTCAGAGGTCTCCGGTCTGTCTCGTCACGATGCTGGCTTCTCCCCGCGGTCGTTTCGGCTTGGGCCGCTGAACAGCAAAGGGGCGAAGAGGCCGAGATTCGGGAAAGATTGGTCCGTCTTGCGACCGGTTCGTTCTGCCGCGATTGGACGAGGTTGCCTCACAGCAGGACTGGTTTGTCGAATCGCTTCGCTCACTCCGCCAGCCCATATTGCACCACTATCGCTGTATGTTGCTGTGCCCATGGCGGCCGAGAAGGAGGATAGGGCACTCGATAGGGGAGGAGGAGGAGCATGATGATGATGAGGAGGAGGAGGAGGGGAAAGAGGAGGAGGAGGCGTTTGGACGGCTTCTTGGGGAACTGTGAGGACCAAACTGGGTCGCGGACAAGACACCGCTTTTTCATTTTGGAGAATTACTGGGCCGTCTTACGGCCATCTTGGCCATCTTGGACCGATCGTTCGGCGATTCGGGGCCCTCTTTTGGCCGTCTTGAAAGCCTCTGGGGGCCCTCTGGGCCCATCTTGGCGCCCGCTTGGGCTCGAAAAAGCCACGCGAGATGACGCGACAAACCCCCGACGAGACGCGCCAAGCCCCAGTAGATTTGGCAATTTGGAGTCGGGGCCCCCTGAAGACTCTTCAGGAGTGGGGATTGAGGCCTAGAGGATTTGGCCCAAGACCTGAGGACACGCCCACTCCGTGTCCAGCGGCACGGTGGCGGAAATTGTACCACATAAGTTGCACAACATGTACTGTTAGAAATACATTAGTTGGGGCCAACGTTGACGAGCATTTTCTTCTTCTGAAAGGAGTACAGAATCTAGCCACCCAGTCTATCGGTTCCCTTTGGGATCGTACAACTTGCATAAGATCATGTCCCGCCGTTCATTATAAGTATGAAATCATGTCATCCAAAGGAGTCATGTCACCGCCCCCCTTTTTCACATTTTGCCAGATGATACTATCCGCGCGCTTCCACTTATCAAAAACACGAATGCGAAAAGACAGCCCTTGCCAAACATATTGTAAATTCCATGTGCGCATCGCCGCGCGCGCATGTCGATATCAGTCACAACCGCATGTTTCGTAGGAAGATCAGGATCGAGGTTCCCGAAAACATGTTTTTCTTACCCCCAAAAAAAGCCTGGTGAAGGACCCAACCATACGCAGTTGTGAATACCGCAATTATGAATATCGTTTTCGCCCGCGCTCCCTATGGGGCCGCGAACCGTGTGAGGGGCGTGCCGACATGTGTGGCGGGGCACACGCGAGCGAAGACGATAGGTTTGTGTGCGAGAGACTGAGAGCGAGTGAGTCTGATTGTGGATGAGTCCGCGCGCGCGTGAGTCTACGTGCATTAATGTCGACGCCCATGTCAGCACGCCTCTCACGAGGATCGCGCCTGCTTCATTCCCGTTTTTCGTTTCCCTCTTTGCCCGTGCGCGCCCATGTCCAAGGCTGCGGGCGCGGCGCCGCACGGAGTCCCCGCGACGCGCGCTGGTCGCCCCGAAGGGGTCCCGGCGACGCGCGCGGGTCGTCCGCTGCGCAGAGCAGAAAGAGCGAGCAGGCTGGCTCCCGCCCGGGATGCGCGGCCCGAAAGCGGCTTCAACACGTCGAATACGACGAAAAATTTCCGAAAATCGAAAGTCGCCGCCATGCGAATTCCGCGAAAGGGCCACCATACAAGTTCCGACACGGAGACTCGGGTGGAGCTTCCCTGTGGGGACACGAAACGCTGTACCGGGTGGTGGATGACGCATGCAGGCGGTCCCACTGGAGCCTTCGGTGGAGCCCCCATATGGGGCCACGAAACGCTGTACTGGGTGGTTGATGACGCATGCGGGCGGTCCCATTGGGGCCGTCGGTGGAGCCCCCTTATGGGGCCACGAAGCGCTGCACTGGGTGGTGGGTGACGCATGCGGGCGGTCCCATTGGGACCTTCGGTGGTGCCCTACGAAATGCTGGGCTGGGTGGTGGAGACACATGCGGGTGGTCCCACTGGGGCCTTCGGCGGAGCTCCCTATGGGGACACGAAACGCTGTATTGGGTGGTGGATGACGCATGCAGGCGGTCCCACTGGAGCCTTCGGTGGAGCTCCCGATGGGGTCACGAAGCGTTGTACTGGCTGGTGGATGCCGCATGCGGGCGGTCCCACTGGAGCCTTCGGTGGAGCTCCCTATGGGGACACGAAACGCTGTATTGGGTGGTGGATGACGCATGCAGGCGGTCCCACTCGAGCCTTCGGTGGAGCTCCCGAATTGGGTCACGAAACGTTGTACTGGCTGGTGGATGCCGCATGCGGGCGGTCCCACTGGAGCCTTCGGTGGAGCTCCCTATGGGGACACGAAACGCTGTATTGGGTGGTGGATGGCGCATGCAGGCGGTCCCACTCGAGCCTTCGGTGGAGCCCCCATATGGGGCCACGAAACGCTGTAGTGGGTGGTGGATGACGCATGCGGGCGGTCCCACTGGGGCATTCGGTGGAGCCCCCATACGGGGCCACGAAGCGCTGTACTGGTGGTGGATGACGCATGCGGGCAGTCCCACTGGGGCCTTCGGTGGAGCCCCCTTTATGGAGTCACGAAACGCTGTACTGGGTGGTGGATGACGCATGCGGGCGGTCCCACTGGGGCCTTCGGTGGAGCCCTCTATGGGGCCACGACACGCTGTGCTGGGTGGTGGATGACGCATGCGGGCAGTGGCACTGGGGCCTTCGATGGAGCCCCTTTATGGGGCCACGAAACGCTGCACTGGGTGGTGGATGACGCACGCGGACGGTCCCATTGGGGCCGTCGGTGGAGCCCCCTATGGGGCCACGAAACGCTGCACCGGGTGGTGGGTGACGCACGCGGGCGGTCCCATTGGAGCCCTCGGTGGAGCTCCTTATGGGGCCACGAAATGAAGGGAGGGGGGAGGAGGAAGGAAGGAAGGAGAACGCGGGGACCGTCTCTTCAAAACGAGGACCCAACACCACAGGATGGTGGGGAAATGCTCGGGGGACGATTTGTCGACTATTTTTGTTTTGCTATTTGTGTTTGTTGAATATTTTTATCTTGCGTCCAAAAGCCGCCGGTAGGAGACGCCCGACCTAACAGCAGCGGAAAAGAGCAAGCAGAACGGCCGTGTCGTGTCCACGGAAAGGCGTTCTGTGCCCCATCTTGGGCTTTTGCTTCAGGGGGTCGTATACGGCAAAGGCCCATGCCAAGAAGCACCCTCCAGGGTACCCTGGCTTTCTTGGGTTTCGATGGTTCTGCGATGGGAGGCGTGGCGGTCCCTCACCAAAATCCATGGACGTCCCGGGGTCCCAGACCCCCGACGTCATGATTTTTTCATGACGTCGACCCCAGAAGTCTCGACCCCTTCCCTGTGACCGGTTTCTCATCCTGAGTCGGTTTTTGACAGCCCCGAGGCCCGGTAAGGGCCCCCTGAGGCCGAATATCGCGAAAAATTGTCCGTCGTGACTTTCTCATGGCCCGAGGGGGTCTGGGGTCTCAGGGTTAGGTTCCTTGTGGAAGGTCTCTTGTGGTCGCGCCCCTGCTGCATACGTTTGCTTTTGAGGCGCCAGTGGGCGTGCGGGGGGGGGGGCCTGCGCCAGCCGGCGTTGCCCCGGAGTTTTCCCGTGGTCGCGCTTCTCTGCTATGGTTAAGTCGGGCCTGTCCCTCTACAGGAGGAATATTCAAACATAGTCACAAATAGTATGGGGACGATGTTTCTAGTATGTTTGACCTTTTTCGAATACTTTTTGACTATTTTTCATTTTTCCTCCACAATCCGCCGGTAGGGAGACCCGCCCGACCTAATGCTATGGCGCTTTGTTCCCTGGGCTCCCCGGTCGTATTTCTGTATGCCAAGCAGTGGCGAAGCGTCTTGGCTCTCCCATAGGCCCACCAAATGATGTTCTAAGAACCTTGTGTGATCTGCGCGGGATGTTCTTAGAGCATTTCTGGTTGGGACTGTCTCGTCTTAGCACATCGGGTCTTCTGTTCTAAGAACCTTGTTTTTGTTATTAGAGCATGTTGAGGTTCTAAGAACATGTCGTGGTATGCCTATACGAATGCCGGGATGGTCGGTCCCTGCTCAAGTATGCCGTGGCGTTGCCCCGAGTGTGGTTTGGTCTTGTCCCCTTCCTGTTAAGTCGGGCGTGTCCCTCGACTGGAGGAATTTTCAAACATAGTCAAACATAGTCGGCCTTACTGTTAAGTCGGGCGTGTCCCTCTACAGGAGGAAAATTCAAACTGGTCAAAAAATAGTCGGTTGGCGATGTTTCGATTATGTGTGACTCTTGTTTTGAAGATGTTTTGTCTATTTTTATGTTTCGTCCACAATCCGCCTGTGGGAGGACATGCCCGACCTAACCTTACTGTGGCCATCCCTAGGGTGGCTTAACTTTGTTTCTTGACTGGGGCGTTCTCCATTGTCACTTGGTCTTGTCACCTTCCTGTGGCCTTCCTCGGATTGCTGTGTCTTGCTTCCGCACAACATCCCCCAAACGCCACGCAAAGACAAGACATGCACATCAATGCCAAGCAACGTCAAGCAACGCAAAGCAACGACAAGCAAGGTCAAGCAACGCCAAGCAATGCAACGCAGCACCAAGCAACGCCAAGCAATGCAAAACGGTTGCAAACAATGCCAAGTACCGCCGCGCCAAGCAGCCTCAAGCAAAGCAAAGCAATTACAAAGCAACGCCAAAGCAAAGCCAAGCAAGGCCTCCATGCATTAGGAAACCTTCACCTATCGACAAGACTACCCTTCGGGTGATAATGAGGGGCTTGGGGTTTGGCTCAAGGCTCGAGGGCACAGAGCCCGGCTCGAACTCGGATCCGAGCTCGTCGCCACAGCTCTACCCTCGCCTCCCTCCCCTCTTGATGGGCCTGTTTTCCACCTCCACCACAAGTTGGAGGGGGGAAGGAGGTGGAGGATGAGGAGGAGGAGGAGGAAAAGGAAAAGAAGGAGGAGGAGGAGGAGGACGAGGAGGACCCCGTCCCCCTCCCACTTCTGGTGGTGGCGGTGGAAGACAGGCCCACCACCCCTCGCGCCCGCCCTCCCTGCCCGCATGCTCGCGGGCAGGAGCGGGCAGCTCAGCAGGCTCGCCCCGGGGAGCGACGCCGACGCCGAGCCGGAGCACACCCCGCGGGGCCCCCGCCCTGCTGCGCCCTGTGCGCGGGCCGCCGCGGCGGCGCTGGCCTGGGCCGCGGCAGCGCTGGCCTGGCGGGCGGCGGCGGGGCCGAGGTCGGCCACGCGCGGAGGGGGGTAGAGGGGGGGCGGGGAGGCTTCTCAGAGGCACCCCCTGCCTCTGAGCAGCGGCGGGCTTGCTCGCAGATGTGAGGCGCGCGCCCTCTAAGAAGCAGCCTCCTTCCGAGAAGCCTTCCCCCCTCCCCCTGCCCCCTCGCACGCGCCGCCGAGGAGGGGAGCCCCTGCGCGAGCCGAGGCCGGCGCCTGGCGCGAGGCCATCGTCGAGGCCTCGGAGGACCAGCGCGCGTGCGTCCTCGACGGGGACCTGCGCGTGAGGCGCTGGAGCGCGGGTGCGGGCGCGCCGACGGGGGGCGCCGGCAGCGGTGCCACGTTCGTCTTCGAGGGGCAGCTCTGGTTGGTCCGCAGCCGCACCGTGCAGATACAGGTCGTCACCGCCAGCGGGGCCGCAGGGCAGGAGGACTTCGCCAACACCCTCAAGGAGTCGGAGGAGGAGAAGCTACCCATACCCTTCTACCCCTTCCCCAATTTCCCCTTTTTCGGTCTCCTGGGACGCCCTCATCGCCACCGCTGGATTCGCCTCGAAAGCTTGTTCAGAACGCACCGCGGGAGAGGTCTGGGGAGTAGCGGTATCGGTGTCTCTTTGTCTCCCCAAGGAGATCGCCATCGGTGGCTCTTTCTTAGAGAATAACACCCTGCACATATCCGCGACGGGCGTGATCTGGCATTCGGCCGACGGACAGAGGGAGCCCATCCTCACTGACATGGACTCCAATTGGTCGAACGAGCTCGTCGAAGCCACGAGAGATACCTCGGGGGAAGTGCTCCAGCCCGATCGCGCGGTCGTCGACAGGACCGTGGTGCACCTGAAGCTGCCAAATTCGGTGCGGCTACATATCGAGCAATGGCCGGATCCCGCTGCCCACTATGTGAATGTCAAGGTCACGAAGCCAGCTGAGTACGGCGAGGTGGGCTTATGCGTGGACAGTGCAGCGCCAGCGGTAGGGGTATCCACATCGGAAACCCTCTTCCGTGCAGGCATCTACACACGGAGTTGCCCAAGTGTAGAATCTGAGATTTCTTGGCCGTATGGGGGGTGTGAGGGCTTGTCAACTGAAGCGAGCATGTACAGTTTCAGCGCGATCGACCGTTCAATCTCCTGCGGAGTGTGCGGACAAAATCAATTTGTAGATTTCCTGGGGAAGCTCGCCGCGGATTTGAAGAACTTGAAAGAGGAGGAGTGTTCTCAAGGGGTGATATACGGAGTCGCATTTGGTTCTAAGTATGAGGAAATGCTAGATTTACAAGACGATGTTGATACCCAGAGGCTACTCCAGCGTCACCAGCGGTGTTTCTTTTATTTCGTTGCGGCTGACAATGAGTCAAAATCTATCTCTTTGAACCGCACTTCCAAGTCTGGTCTGAGCATTTTGATCCCTGTGCCGACGAGCGTCTTGCCATACAAGAGCATGCGCAGGAATACAAAGTTATTCAAGATGTATGGAGGTCTTGTCGTGTTTGCATTTGCGAAGCGCCTTGTCTGGCAGGACGCGAAAATGCTTGGAGACCTCTGTCAGAGCTGGATAGGTACGATGGACTATCAGAAGATGTTCACGGAGAATATCGAGCAGCATGGCACGTGTGCCTCATTCCGGGCCTTGCCGAATAAACCCGAAACCATGGGAGAAGTACGTTCAGATGGTCCTCGGTTCGAGTACCACTGTTCTTTTTTGGAGGCTGTGGATCGGCCAGGTCTGACAGACGATAGTGAGACACTCGGCAAGCAGTGCGGTCACTATCGTCGACTTGATCCAGAAAACTATCGAATTAGCTTAGACAGCGGCCTGATTGACAGCGCAGTTATTCTTTGGGATATGAGAAGTAAACGGTGCCGTGATTTCAATAGACAGCTATCGTGTACCTGGCTGGGCGAAATCCATTGCTTTGCAGATCGTGATCAGGTGAGCTTCCCAGAAGCTCTCCGCGCAGTGGGGGTCTATGAACCAAGTGGGGTCAGCCCCTTGGATTCGGAAGTAAAGGACAAGCTCTTCGTTAAAGCAGATGATCCCGAAATTCCGATGGTACACATTGGGAGAAGCAGCTGTCATTGGTACTTCTCGGATGTCAGCAACAACATGTACACCTGCGCCAGTAACCCTGATGTCGTGGCAAAGGGCGCCGTATAGGGCAGAGCCCGTCGCAAAGGCCATCGCCTGGGTTCAGTGCTAGTCGGCAAAGGCTGATCGCACTGGTAGGCTTGGGGGCGTCACTCGCACAGCTACGGTCCCAGACATCCGAGGTCGCTTGTTTTTCACACCATGATCGAAGCGGGGACCCAACGCCACAGGATGGTTGGGAAAGGCACGCCAGGCTTGAACCGAGGACGTCGTCGGACGTGTGGGGCTGTTGTGCAGTCTCTGGCGGGCGGCGGGGGCGATGGCGTCGGCGCGACGTCGCGGCGCCAGGCCGCGTCCGTGGCAGCGCCCTACACAATTACGCTACCGAGGAACCCCACATACTCAATTTAAATGTTATGTGCTTGCTTAAGTTTATAATATATGCGCAATTCTGCGTTCTCAGCCCTCGTCGCGAATGTTCCCCTCTGTGTCATCCAACGCCGTATTGCTTGAACCTCCTCCCTCTTCCTAGCCTTCTATCCTCCATCAAGGACAGATTCGAGCCAGCCAGCGGCCGCGCTCAGGGACCAACCCCCTGCGCACCCCCTATGGTGTCGAGAAAGTGCCACGCCTGCTGTGCCTGGACGACTGGCACGGATAGCGGCCGCGCTCAGGGACCACCTTTTGTGCACCCCCTATGGTGTCGAGAAAGTGCCACGCCTGCTATGCGTGGACGACTGGCACGGATAGCGGCCGCGCTCGGGGGCCACCCCTTGCGCACCCCCTATTGTGTCGAGAAAGTGCCACGCCTGCTATGCCTGGACGACTGGCACGGGTAGCGGCCGCGCTCAGGGACCACCCCCTTGCGCACACCCTATGGTGTCGAGAAAGTGCCACGCCTGCTATGCCTGGACGACTGGCACGGATAGCGGCCGCGCTCAGGGACCACCCCTTGCGCACCCCCTGTGGTGTCGAGAAAGTGCCACGCCTGGAATGCCTGGACGACTGGCACGGATAGCGGCCGCGCTCAGGGACCACCCCCTGCGCACCCCCTATGGTGTCGAGAAAGTGCCACGCCTGCTATGCTTAGACGACTGGCACGGATAGCGGCCGCGCTCAGGGACCACCCCTTGCGCACCCCCTATGGTGTCTAGAAAGTGCCACGCCTGCTATGCCTGGACGACTGGCACGGATAGCGGCCGCGCTCAGGGACCACCCTTTGCGCACCGCCTATGGTGTCGAGAAAGTGCCACGCCTGCTATGCTGGACGACTGGCACGGATAGCGGCCGCGCTCAGGGACCACCCCTTGCGCACCCCCTATGGTGTCTAGAAAGTGCCACGCCTGCTATGCCTGGACGACTGGCACGGATAGCGGCCGCGCTCAGGGACCACCCCCTGCGCACCCCCTATGGTGTCGAGAAAGTGCCACGCTTGCTATGCCTGGACGACTGGCACGGATAGCGGCCGCGCTCAGGGACCACCCCTTGCGCACCCCCTATGGTGTCGAGAAAGTGCCACGCCTGCTATGCCTGGGACGACTGGCACGGATAGCGGCCGCGCGGGACCACCTCTGCGCACATGGTGTCCTATGCCTGGACGACTGGCACGGATAGCGGCCCTGCGGGTGTCCCAATGCTAGCGGCCGCGCTCAGGGACCACCCCCTGTGCACCCCCTATGGTGTCGAGAAAGTGCCACGCCTGCTATGCTGGACGACTGGCACGGATAGCGCCGGCTCGGGGACCACCCCCTGCGCACCCCCGTGATGTCGAGAAAGTGCCACGCCTGCTTTACGCCTGCGACTGGCACGAACGCGCGCGCTCAGGGACCACCCCCTGCGCACCCTCTATGGTGTCCAGAAAGTGCCACGCCTGCTATGCCTGGACGACTGGCACGGATAGCGGCCGCGCTCAGGGACCACCCCCTGCGCACCCCCTATAGTTTCGAGAAAGTGCCGCGCTTGCTATGCTTGGACGACTGGCACGGATAGCGGCCGCGTTCAGGGACCACCCCCTGCGCAACCCCTTATGGTGTCGAGAAAGTGCAACGCCTGCTATGCCTGGACGACTGGCACGGATAGCGGCTGCGCTCAGGGACCACCCCCTACGCACCCCCTTGTGGTGTCGAGAAAGTGCCACGCCTGCTAGCCTTTGCACCCCTGCGCACCCCCTGTGGTGTCGAGAAAGTGCCACGAGCTGTGCTGTGCTGTGCTGAGTTGGGCCGTGCTGGGCTGTGTTGAGCTGTGCTGAGCTGAGCCGAGCTGTGCTGTGCTGCGCTGAGCTGAGCTGTGCTGTGCTGTGATGGGGTGAGTTGAGCTGAGCTGAGCAGTGCTGTGACGAGGGGGGGAAGAGTGAAGTGTGTGTGTGTGTGTGACTGAGGGGAGGAAGAAAGAGAGAGGAGGGGAGGTGTGAGGAGACGCGGGTAAGGCGCGGCAATGCCTGGACGACTGGCACGGATAGCGGCCGCGCTCAGGGACCACCCCCCGCGCACCCCCTATGGTGTCGAGAAAGTGCCACGCCTGCTATGCCTGGACGACTGGCACGGATAGCGGCCGCGCTCAGGGACCACCCCCTGCGCACCCCCTATGGTGTCGAGAAAGTGCCACGCCTGCTATGCTTGGACGACTGGCACGGATAGCGGCCGCGCTCAGGGACCACCCCCTGCGCACCCCCTATGGTGTCGAGAAAGTGCCACGCCTGCTATGCCTGGACGACTGGCACGGATAGCGCCGCGCTCAGGGACCCCACCCCTTGCGCACCCCCTATGGTGTCGAGAAGGTGCCACACTTGCTATGCCTGGACGACTGGCACGGATAGCGGCCGCGCTCAGGGACCACCCCTTGCGCACCCCCTACTGCGTCTAGAAAGTGCCACGCCTGCTATGTTTGGACGACTGGCACGGATAGCGGCCGCGCTCAGGGACCACCCCCTGCGCACCCCTCTATGGTGTCGAGAAAGTGCCACGCCTGCTATGCCTGGACGACTGGCACGGATAGCGGCCGCGCTCAGGGACCACCCCCTGCGCACCTCCTATGGTGTCGAGAAAGTGCCACGCCTGCTATGCTTGGACGACTGGCACGGATAGCGGCCGCGCTCAGGGACCACCCCCTGCGCACCCCCTTTTGTGGTGACGGGAAAGTGCTACGCTTGCTATGCTTAGACGACTGGCACGGATAGCGGCCGCGCTCAGGGACCACCCTTTGCGCAACCCCCTATGGTTTCGAGAAGGTGCCACGCCTGCTGCGCCTGGACGACTGGCACGGATAGCGGCCGCGCTCAGGGACCACCCCCTGTGCACCCCCTATGGTGTCGAGAAAGTGCCACGCCTGCTATGCCTGGACGACGGGCACGGATAGGGGCAGCGCTCGGGGGCCACCTCTGGGCACCCCCTATGGTGTCGAGAAAGTGCCACGCCTGCTATGCCTGGACGACTGGCACGGATAGCGGCCGCGCTCAGGGACCCCCCCTGTGCACCCCCTATGGTGTCGAGAAAGTGCCACGCCTGCTATGCCTGGACGACTGGCACGGATAGCGGCCGCGCTCAGGGACCACCCCCTGCGCACCCCCTACGGTGTCTAGAAAGTGCCACGCCTGCTATGCCTGGACGACTGGCACGGATAGCGGCCGCGCTCAGGGACCACCCCCTGCGCACCCCCTATGGTGTCGAGAAAGTGACACGCCTGCTATGCCTGGACGACTGGCACGGATAGCGGCCGCGCTCAGGGACCACCCCCTGCGCACCCCCTATGGTGTCGAGAAAGTGCCACGCCTGCTATGCCTGGACGACTGGCACGGATAGCGGCCGCGCTCAGGGACCACCCCCTGCGCACCCCCTGTGGTGTCGAGAAAGTGCCACGCCTGCTATGCCTGGACGACTGGCACGGATAGCGGCCGCGCTCAGGGACCACCCCCTGCGCACCCCCTATGGTGTCGAGAAAGTGCCACACCTGCTATGCCTGGACGGCTGGCACGGATAGCGCCGCGCTCAGGGACCACCCCCTGCGCACCCCCTATGGTGTCGAGAAAGTGCCACGCCTGCTATGCCTGGACGACTGCGGATAGCGGCCGCGCTCAGGGACCACCCCCTGCGCACCCCCTATGGTGTCGAGAAGGTGCCACGCCTGCTATGCCTGGACGACTGGCACGGATAGCGGCCGCGCTCAGGGACCACCCCCTGCGCACCCCCTATGGTGTCTAGAAGGTGCCACGCCTGCTATGCCTGGACGACTGGCACGGATAGCGGCCGCGCTCAAGGACCACCCCTTGCGCACCCCTTTACGGTGTCGAGAAAGTGCCACGCCTGCTATGCCTGGACGACTGGCACGGATAGCGGCCGCGTTCGGGGACCACCCGCTGCGCACCCCCTGTGGTGTCGGTCGTGGATAGCGACCGAGCTGAAAGACCACCCCCTGCGCACCCCCTGTGGTGTCGAGAAAGTGCCACGCTTGCTAGGTGTTGCGCCAGTACCACGAGCTGTGCTGTACTGTGCTGAGCTGAGCCGTGCTGGGCTGTGCTGAGCTGTGCTGAGCTGTGCTGTGTGTTGAGCTGAGCTGAGCTGTGTGTTGTGCTGAGCTGAGCTGTGCTGCGCTGTGCTGTGATGTGCTGCGCTATGCTGAGAAGAGCTGAGCTGAGCTGTGTGTCGTGCTGTTCTGAGCTCCGTGCTGTGCTGAGCTGTGCTGTGCTGTGCTGAGCTGTGCTGAGCTGAGCTGCGCTGTGCTCTGCTGTGTGAGAAGGGTGGGGTGGGATGAGGTGGGTGAGGTGGGCCGCGGGTGCGACACGGCAGGGAAGAAAACCAGAACCCCACTAAGCATGTGGGGAATTTGCAGTACAAGTGTCCGAAATCTATTGCACCACCCCTTTCAGCTGGACCCCTGTTTTGGGGGTCACCCAAAGTCGAGCACGATGGCCAAGTTCTCTTTTGGAGCGTTTGCCGCTTCTGCTGGCGACCAAGTTCGGCGCGTGCTTTACCGCCTCGCGACGCCCTTTGCAGGCAACGGCTGCGTCGCAGCACTATGTCCAATGACCCTGGCCTTGTGCTGCGAATCATTCTGGACCGCTTCGACGGCGCCGCGGCTCTGGCACCCGGAGTTACCCCCCCGTCGCGGGGAAGGCGCGCCGAACGCGGGCTGGACGTCTTGTTCTGCATGCGCGCTCCCCGCTTCGAGGACACGCTCCGGAAAACGCGCGATGGTGGCGAGTGGCATCCCTGCCGACGGCGTCTTTGCTGGGGCCCGGAACGGGCGGCTTGCCGTGTGACCGCGACATGCACGAGCGGAGTGGCGGCGGATTTGGTCAGGGATTCGAAGAAGAAAACGACGCCATAAACATAAAGTGTTGGCGCTCCGGGCGGATTTCTCGGATCCGCGCTGGGCCCCCCAGGCGGCGCCTCCAGCGCCGCCTCTGGCGCGTTCCGCGCGTCAGGGAGGTGGGCCTTTTTTCTTTTTCTAGGGATGCGGATGAACAAGCAAGATGGTGACCAGCAGTGTCCTTTCCAGTGGCGGTGCGAAGCCTGCAGCCAGCTGCCAGCAGCGCTCGGCGCCTCGCTGCTCCACGGGCACCACGGGCGCTCGCAGATGACCTTGCGCTCGAAGCAGGTCCCCCTTGCAGAGGCTCTCTGTGCGCAGCTGGCTGCCGCAATCCGGAAACGGATGATGGGCCGATTTTCCACCACCTCTACCATAGGCAGGAGAGGGAGGAAAAGAAGAAGGAGGGGGAGAGGAGGAGGACCTCCACATCCTCCCTGCTCCCATATCTTACATGTGGTAGGAGTGGTGGGAAATATGCCCATCAACGGCGGTGGAGTAGGCACGCGATGTTTACCACTGGGCGGTTTTGGCGTTCTGCAAAGGCACAGGCGCCAGCGCCAAGCGCGCTATCCCGGGTGAGCTGCACGGCGTGTCTCTGAAAGATTGCCGCGATGCGCCTGAGGTGCAGGAGGAGGAGGAGGAGGAGGAGGAGGAGGAGGAGAATAAGGCGCCAGTCCAGCGTAAAACGGGAGAAAGTCTCGGGCGGGAGCGCTGGTTATGTTGGGGCGGGGGCTGTCGGCGGCGAGCAAGAGCGCCGCCTTGAGTTAAAAGGGAGAAAGTCTCGAGCGGGGGCGTTGTTGTTGCCGGGGGGCGGCGCCGATGAAAGAAAGAGTAGCGCGCCTGTCCAGTATAAAAGGAGGGGGAGGTCTCGAGCGGGAGCGCTGGTTTTGTCGAGACGGCTGCTTTCGGCGGCGAGCAAGAGCACCGGCCCTGAGTAAAAAAGGAGGACGTCTCGAACGGGGGCGTTGTTGTTGTTGGGGGGGCCGGTTTTGGCGGCCCCCAAACCGCTTGAGAGCGAGCCTCATTTTCAATGAAAATGCAGCCAGCGCCTCGGCGAGAGCGCCAGGGCGTCTGTAAGGGGTCCAACAATAATAGTTTGTTTCCAGTAATTAACATTCAACAGCAACAACAATAACAACAACAACAACAACAACAGCAACAGCAACAACGTCAACGCAATAAGCATAATCATCACCACGGATCCGCACTTAGGCCACGCACCCAGGGATAATGAATGACCGTTCGGCCCCTTCATTCTGATATATATATATACAATATATCAGAGTGAGGGGGCCGAACGGTCATTCACTGTCCCTGGGTGCGTGGCTGTAATGGGACTCCGCGGTGCGGATTCGTGTTGTTGTTGTTGTTGTTGTTGTTGTTGTTGTTGTTGTTGTTGTTGTTGTTGTTGTTGTTGTTGTTGTTTGTTGTCGTTGTTTGTTGTTGTTGTTGCTGTTGTTGTTGTTGTTGTTGTTGTTGTTGTTGTTGTTGTTGTTGTTGTTGTTGTTGTTTGTTGTTGTTGTTTGTTGTCGTCGTCCCACCCGCAACCCGCCCCGCGACCCACCCCGCGACACACCCCGCGACCCACCCGCGACCCACCCGCGACCCACCCGCGACCCACCCCGCGACCCACCCCGCGACCCACCCCGCGACCCACCCCGCGACCCACCCCGCGACGACCCACCCGCGACCCACCCGCGACCCACCCGCGACCCACCCGCGACGACCCACCCGCGACCCACCTTCGACCCAAACCACGTTCAAGATACAAACCACCATTTTCGGCGCCTGCGGCGGGCTTTTTTTGCATTCCTTCCAGGTGGAGAGCCCGCGACCCACCCCGCGACCAACTCGCGACCAACCCGCGACCCAAACCACGTTCAGGGTACAAACCACATTTTTCGGCGCCTGCGGCGGGCATCTTTTGCATTCGTTTCAGGTGGAGAGCCCGCGGCCCACCCGCGACCACGTTCAGGGTACACACAATTTTTTTCGGCGCCTGCGGCGGGCATCTTTTGCATTCGTTCCCGGTGGAGAACCCGCGGCCCACCCGCGACCCAAACCACGTTCAGTGTACAAACCAATTTTTTCGGCGCCTGCGGCGGGCTGCTTTTGCATTCCTTCCAGGTGGAGGTGGAGAACCCGCGACCCACCCGCGACCCAAACCACGTTCACTGAACAAACCAATGCCGCACAAGCGCGGCGGCGGATTTTTGCATGCCGTCTGAGCCCGCAACGACCTCTTCAAGCCCCGCGCATCCACACCAGCCCGTCCAGCAACTTTGCCCTGGCGAGTTGCCTTGATCAGAGAAGTCGGGGAGCATAAAGTGGAAAAAAGGATTGCGTTGCCGTTATCTTGGGAAAGGAGGGGGAGGCAGGAGGAGTAAACAGGGGACGAGGAGGACGCGGAAGAAGAGAGGATGTAAGGAGAATGTGGAGAAAGAGGAGGAGGAGGAGGACGAGGAGGGGAGGAGGGGGAGGAGGGGGAGGAGGAGGACGAGGAGGGGGAGGAGGGGGAGGAGGGGGAGGAGGATGATGGATGGACGACAATGGGAGGACGATGGGAGGCCGATGAGGGGGAGGACGACAATGGGAGGACGATGATGGAAGGACGAGGGGGGGAGAGGGAGGACGAGGAAGAAGAGGAGGGAGGAGGACGAGGTGGAGGAGGAGGATGACGATGACGATGAGGACGAGGACGAGGAAGAGAGGAGGAGGAGGAGGAGGAGGAGGAGGAGGAGGAGGAGGGAGGAGAGCGCCATCGACAGGGAAGGTGGGGGCCACGAGGTCCGCCGGCTCGACGACGCCCGCGTCGCCCGCGCCCGCCCCCTCACTTTATCCGCAATTGCGGGGTGCTACGTATATATATATATATATATATATATATATATATATGAGTAGGCCGGGGGGGGGGGGGGCCAAAATCGGTGCCGTCATCCCCCATGGCCGCTCCCCCGAACCTTTGGGGGGTCACAGACCCCGCGGGATTGCCCCGGGCCGCTTCCAAATTGCCCACGACAGGCCACGCGCCCGCAGACGCCCAAGAGCGCCCCAAGAGGGCCCGTGAGGGCCCCACGAGGGCCTTCAAGAGGCAAACATCGGCCCATTTCCTGCGTAGAACGCACGTTCTCGGCATACTCGCTGGCTTCGTCTTCACAGTGCTCTAGACGCCCCCGCGGAGCCCCAACACAGCCCAAGAGAGACCCAAGAGGGCCCCAGACGGCCCAAAAGGGTCGTCCTGTGGGGCTGACGGAGCCCCCCAAGACGGCCCAAGAGGCCCCAAAGCCAGCCCAGGAGGCCCCCAAGACTGCCTTATGGAGGCCCAAGAGGACCTCGTTCGAAATCATGTTCCCGGAAGCCTCTCCGGGAACATGATTCCCGGGTTCCCAGGACGCCCAAAGACATCCCCCAGAGGCCCTGGACACGCCGAAGATGGCCTCAGGACGGCCGACGACGCCGCCAAAACGCCCCAAGAGCGCCTCCAGAGGCCCGTCCAAAGGGCCCCAGAAGCAGAACATCATACATGTTCTAATGGTTTTTGAAGCATTTTTGCGCTCTCCCATGTTCCGCCTCCCCACGGTCCCGGACCGCGTCAGAGGCCCTTCAGATCGCTCCAAGACGGTCGAAGAGGCTCCCAACAAAGCCCAGAGACGGCCCAGGAGGCTCCCCAGATAAGTCAAGAGGGTCTCGAGAGCGCCCCGAGAGAGCCCCAAGAGCGACCCAAGAGGGCCCGAAGAGCGCGACATGCCGAGGTCTCCGGCCTGAGAGGCTCCTAGGACGCCCCCGGAGGCCATCAAAAGGCTCCCAAGAAGCCCCGTGAGGCTCCCAAGAGGCCCCCCAGAAGCCCCAATAGGCCCCTGCGGGCCCCAAGACACTTCGGTAAATCGTATTTCCCGGATAGCTTTCCGGGAACGTGATTCCTTGGGCTTCCGCCCACCGCCCCAACCATGTTGCCAATAGGCTTGCCGACAAGGCCAAAAGGCGCCCCTCGGTAAGCCCCCAGGGGCGCCCCTCGTAGAGAGCCGAACAAATCATGCCCCCAGAAAGCTTCCCTTTCTCGGAGTAGGCCCGGGGGGGGGGCGGGCCGCTGCCTGTTCCCCCCATCGGTGCCCACCAGGGGTTGCGGTGGGGAGTCCAGAGTTCCCGAGGCGGCCCAGGCCCGCCCCGAAGCAGACCACGACAGGCTAATGGAGGTCCCGAGAGGGCCCCAGACTGTCCCGAGAGGCCCCGAAGACGCCTAAGCTGCTCTCAAGACGGCCGACGAGGACTCGAACACGCTCCAGGACGGATTCAAGAGGCTTCCCAAGAGGGCCCTTGGAGGTAAGATTCACTAACTTTCTGATGGTGTTTGAAGGATTTAGGCGTTCTCGCTTTCCCCGCTTCCCAGCGTTCCCTCACGGCCTCGCTCGCTCGGAGGCCCTTCAGATCGCGCCAAGACCGGCCAGGAGGCCGCGAAGAGGGCCCCAAGACGGCCCAGGAGGCTCCCCAGACAACGCAACTGTGCCCCAAGAGCTCTCCAAGAGAGGGCCTAGAGGGGGACCGCCAACCGATATTGCAGAGGCCGCATGTAGGCCCCCGGAGGCCACCAAGAGGCTCCCACGAAGCCCCGTGACGCGCCCAAGAGGCCCCCAAGAAGCCCCAAGAGACCCCCAAGGGGCTCCCAGGGAACGCCCAAGAGGCCCCCCAACACACCCCAAGAAATCATGTCCCCAGAAAACCTTCCGGTGACATGGTTCATCAACGGGCCCGAGAGTTCCCGGAGGCCCCCAAGGGGCCCCCAGGGAACGCCCAAGAGACCCCCCAACACACCCCAATGTCCCCAGAAAGCCTTCTGGAGACATGGTTCATCATGGGCCCGCGAGTCTCCGGAGGCTTCGAAGTACCAACATGCTACAGGAGAGCTGTTTGGGAAGTTGATTGGGAACATGACTGATCGCCTTCTCGCGGCCCTCCGCAGATC